CGGTTCGAATTGTCTTTGTTGGAATGGTGCTCACTGGGTCGCTCGTGCCACCTCGATCTTTGGCTGCGAGGTTGCGTCCCTAATGAAACCATTGAAATCAGCCAAGGAGCCCATGAGGTTATAAGAAGGTTACACGATTGCTCAATACTTACCCGGATCACTGAAACCTTGAGGAGCAGAGGTTTGGTTTCGGCTGATCGTAGAGGACTGGTGCTTCTGCTCTGTCCGGGAGTCGACGACGCGCTCCTCGCGGAAAGGTGCGAGCTCAACCGTTGGGGTAATGCCAACCGGACCATTGCGGATGTACACAAAAGTGAAAATAAATTAAAAGAAGAAGAAAAGAAAGACAAAAAAAGTGTTGGGCGGGTGGCTTGCCCCCCCCCTGGTCAACACAATTGTTGACGTCGAAGAGACCCCAGACGTCGATCGACGATCCGCTGGTTGTGTTCCGGGTCGATCACAGGCCAAGAAACGGAATTACCCACTGTAATTTCCAAGTTCTGACCGGTATTTTCATAAACAGGGATTGGTTCAAATTGTTGAAGGTTAGATCGTTAGATCATAAGATTTTAATGGAAATTTAGGGAAACTTGAGGGGAAAAGTGGGAGAAACACTGCGAATTGGGGGCAACTGGGGGGTCGATATCAAAAGAGAACTCCACACCGCAAGTTATTACAGGGTAGGAGAATGAGAAAAAATGGATGCCTATTGTATACTTGGCGATGCCCTGGATACATGTATCTCTTTAATTTAAAAAAACACCCTGTATGCAATGTACTCCGTAAGGCTGCACGAAATGCAGTACCCCGCATCGTATACAACATGTATATTGTAGGAAATTCTTTAGATATTACGGTGCTATGAACGTTCTAGAAGAAGACAAAATCTAAAGTCAGTCTTGTCGTCGGTCTGTTCGTCCCCAAACCTCATCGGCATTAGCTTTGCCCTTGGTTTCCGGTACAAATTGATAGATGAAGGCCCCAAGCAACCCGGCCATAGCTGCAAACACCCAGTATACCTGTCCACGACCACCAAGGACATTATCAAGCACTGGGAAGAATTGTGCCACCACAAAGGTTGCGATCCAGTTGGCGCCCAGCGCCCAGCTTTGTGCCGCACCGACAGCCTCGGGCCCAACAAGCTCGGAGGCTAGGATGAAGGGGACCGGGCCCAGTCCGACCGCAAAACATGCCACAAAAAGTAAGGCAGCGATCGCCGTCAAGATCTTAGCGTTCATGTAGATACTTATCGCGAGAAGTACAGAACTGCAGCCCATACCGCAGATACTCAAAATCAGGCACAACTTTCGGCCAATGCGGTCGGGCAGTGGAGAGCACGCCAGCGTGATCACGAGATTAACCGCAGATATCATTACCGTGAGTAGTGCAGCGGTCGTTGGTAAGATACTTTGTAATAATGACACGCTGTACATAACAATGCTGTTCATCCCGGTGAGTTGCTGAGCGACCATCACACCAACCACAGCAATAATAGCTGGGCGGTAGTAGGGATCTTTCACAACCTGCATAAATGTGACTACAGGCTTGTTAGGCGGCGTCTCGCCAGATGGAGAGAGCAAGGACTCTTCCTCGCCAGATACAGGCGCATCCGTGGTCCTCCAGCTCGCAATCTCCGCTTCAATGTCGGCATCCCGACCACGGATCCGCTGCAGGACCCGGCGTGCCTGACTGATCTTTTCGTTTTCCGCGAGCCATGGAGGACTTTCCGGTACCAAGAAAAGCCCCAAAAGCTCCAGAGCACCAACGATTCCGGCCACAGCCAATATGAGTCTCCAGAGGCTTGCTTCGCTCCAGAAGTATCCCAGGGATTGTGTTAACAGAATACCGACATTGGTCATAATCTGAGTGAAAGCACCGAAGAGGCCCCGAGCACTGGGTGGAGCGATTTCCGAAATGTAGATAGGGCCAACCACAATTGCAGCACCAGAGCCAATTCCAGAGAGGAATCTACCAAGACTCAAGACGGAAATCACCGGCGCAAGTGTCTCCGCCACAGGTCCCAGAATAAAGAATATCGTGGTTGCTCGTAATGCAACCAGACGTCCGTATTTGGTCGCGATGGGTCCTGCCAGCAGGGCTCCAAGTAAGCCACCGAGCGTGTAGATTGAAGAGACGAGGCCGAATTGTGATGGGGTCATAGGGAAGCATTGCGGTAGACCATGAAAAGTGATGCCCGAAGAATGAATTCCTTGACGTTCGCATGTTATCACGGCTTTGGGGGCATTAAGCTCTGCCTGGGGAATCCATGTATCAGTAATATTCTGTACAAATGGAGGGGGCGGTATCGTACCAGATGGAAGCCAAATTGAAGGGGGCCAAGCGTGACAACAAACACGAGATATATCAGGTATGGTGTAACCCTCGACTGGGTCGATGCACCCAAAACCATTCTGGGACAAATTCTAGGTCAATGGGCGACCCCGGGACGGATTGAAGGTACGTTAAGAGGAGATCTGGTGCTCAAGATGACGTTTGCCGATCGCAGTAGGTAGAGATAAGATGATCTGAGGACAGGTTGGTCAGACGAGAAATGTCTGCCTAGGTAGTCAAATTTCACATTGAATTTAGCACATAGGGTCCTTCACGATTTAGAAATGACTTGAACCAGTTGAGTTGAGGAGTTGAAAGCTACAAGAAGTCGAAGCTACAACCTTTCCACCTGGGCACAGAACCGACATGTGATCTGACTAAGCGTTGACTCGACTGAACTTATCGCGTTGTACATTTCAGACAATACCTTTGAATACCTCTCTGATCTTTTCGTTTTCTTTTTTATATTCAAAGAACTGGAAACCGTGGAGAAGGTATCTCTCCACCAATGGAGTGACAACATCACCGGCCCATTCTGATCCACAAATGAGTCTGACAAACCCGCCCTCTTCCTCCGGCTCTCTCTCGCGAACCAGAGTCGGTAACTTGAAACGGAGTCTCCAGGCTACTGTCGATGGTAATTATATATCTTCCTTGAATCTGGTTACTCGTGATTCCTTGGTGTAACGCCTTGTCGTTTTCTGTCTTTCCATCATGTTTGGAAAAGGTTTCCCTTTCTTGAATTCTGGAGGATTCTATTCTCGTGGTAACTCTTTCCCTTTGATTCTTTGTGGTGATTTTGTCTCTGTGGTGCTAGTTTGCAATTGGAATGGATTCTCGCCAACGCATTCGATTCTCAATCTGGCAACTAAAATATGCTAACCGGGTATTTATACAGATGCCATTGAAGCAAGAAGACCCGGTGGGTATACCAGCAAAGTCCGGGTCCGAGATCGGTATAATATAGTAGGCTTCATCAGCAGCGGTACCTACGGCCGAGTATACAAGGCCGTTGGCAAAAATGGCAAGAAAGGAGAGTTTGCAATCAAGAAGTAAAAAGTCCTCCAGCATTTGATTTCTTCTTCATTCTAACCTCGTCCAGATTCAAGCCCGACAAGGAAGGTGAAACTATCCAGTACACGGGTCTGTCGCAGTCAGCTATCCGTGAAATGGCATTGTGTACTGAACTCTCACATGCCAATGTTGTCCAACTAGAAGAGATCATTCTAGAGGATAAATGCATCTTCATGGTATTTGAATACACGGAGCATGATTTGCTGCAGATCATTCATCATCACACCCAGCCTCAACGACATGCTATTCCAGCACCCATGGTCCGGTCTATCATGTTCCAGTTGTTGAATGGACTGCTCTATCTTCATACCAACTGGGTCCTGCATCGTGATTTGAAACCAGCCAATATCCTCGTCACCTCAAGCGGTGCTATTCGCATCGGCGACTTGGGTTTAGCACGTCTGTTCTACAAGCCACTCAACTCACTGTTCTCGGGCGACAAAGTCGTCGTCACAATCTGGTACCGTGCACCCGAGCTGCTCATGGGGAGCCGGCACTATACTCCTGCCGTCGATATGTGGGCAATAGGATGCATCTTCGCCGAACTACTCTCGCTACGTCCAATTTTCAAAGGTGAAGAAGCCAAAATGGATAGCAAGAAAACAGTCCCCTTCCAACGCAACCAAATGATGAAGATTGTCGAAATCCTCGGTCTTCCTCGCAAAGAATCCTGGCCAGGTCTAGCCTCCATGCCTGAATATTCCCAACTCCAGTCCCTTGTGCTCCACCGCCAACCTTCACATTTCCATCGCGGCTCTAATCTGGAGGGCTGGTACCAAAGCTGTTTGAAAAACGGTGGATACGCGTCCACCTCCAGTGCCGGCACTCCCGGTGCAGATGGATTCGATCTTCTATCGCGTATGCTTGAATATGACCCGGTAAAACGCATCACCGCCGAGCAAGCCCTTGAGCACCCATACTTTACCAATGGCGGCCCCATCAGTGGCAACTGCTTCGAGGGTATCGAGGGCAAATACCCACACCGTCGGGTCACCCAAGATGACAATGATATTCGCACCGGCAGTCTACCGGGCACCAAACGGAGTGGACTACCAGATGATTCGATTATGAGGGCTTCCAAGCGCCTCAAGGAGTAATCTTTTCATTTGCTTGCTGCATATCTGTGTTGATCATATTTTGCGGCGCGTGGACAGGCTGGCCATGATATCCACATCATACATTTAATTCGGTGTTAGCGTTACGATAATTAGCAAAATTGCATCATGATGATTTACGCGGGATTTGGTGGCCATTCAGCCCTGGGGGCTATAAGACCACTATGTATTTTGTATTATAAATGTGGATTGTTCCCAATTTCGAGGAGTCATTCGAGCTCTGCTAGATAATAATCATTTCAATTGCCTTAGATGCGCCATTTGTACTCATACCCACTCCCCTCCCATCATTGCCCATTTCCAATCCCATATTTGCAAAATATCGTACATGTTGAACCTATCCCCGAAAACCCCCAGATAGGACCCGATGATGATAACGCCGAGAAGATGAAAAGGATTGCGTAAAAAGATAATCAGTGCCCTGTCATTGAAGCGAAGAGTTAGTGATCATTGTCGGAAAATAAGACAAGGGATTGATAGTCACTTACCGTTCTGTTCGCATCGCTTGTCTCCGCTGGTATCATCCTTGCCATCACCACCCACAGTAGAAGCGTGGTTAGCGGCATCTTTGATGCCCTGCTCATCACCACGCAGCGCCTCAAAGTAGCCTTTGATATCTTCCGCACTGACAGCCTGTCCGCTCTCCGCAAAGGGCTGCAAGAACACCTTGAGTTTGTCACGCAGATGGTTGTATGCCATTGCGCCCTCGATCGCGCGCACCCGGTCCATGTTGTTGAGTGCTGCCTCGCCGCGGTCGTAAATGCTTCCCGTACCAACACTTGCGGCACCATTATCTTGGCCGTCGTCAGACATGGGAGGCTCATATGTATCTTCTTCTTCACGAAGCTGAGGGTGGGGAACAAGCTTGGGGAAGCACTCTGCGCAGCGGCACAGTTGACTATGGAAATCATCCAAGGCAAAAAGAGAGAACGACTCCATTGGAGTGGATTCGGGGAGCTCGGTGTGCTTAGGGGGAGAGGGCTTGGTAGGAGTGTCATTTTCTTCCTTAGTAGGCTCCTCTTCTTTCACGACCTTCGATAGCTGTTCCTCGACAGGAGCTCCTTCTTCTTCTTCTTTGGTTCGCTTAGCAACAGGCTCTCCTTCAGTGGGCCCCTCATCATCTGCCTTGCGCTTCTTTGAGTGTTCAGCCTTCTCCGGATTCTTAGATTCGGTCTCCTTGTGTTCAGTCACCTTGTGTTCGGTCTCCTTGGGCTCAGTGGCTGGTACAGAGGGATCCTCAGTCACATTTGCGGCCTTCTTGAGTCCACCTTCCCGGAAGACTGGCGGCAAGAATCCAGGAGTGCCCGCATAGGGCTTGATCCAGGGGTTAGAGTCGATGCACTTGAAACAGATCAGATGGTCGAAATCATCCTCTGCGGGAAACCCAGGTGGGAGGAGGTCTTCTTCTTCCTCGACTGAAGCGTCATTTGTGGCATCACCGCCGCCGAGTCCATTGACCTTGGGGGCAGCCTTGTTCCAATCACGCGACAAGCCGATGAGACACTCCGGGTGCCACCAGTCCTCGCCACAGCCTCCGGTCTCGACGGTGCCAAGTCCAAGGCACTGGTACATTGTGCCCTTTTCTGAATACGCATCGTACTGTTCGCCGCAGCCACAGAACTGATTGCGAAAGTTGTGGTTGTATGTGTTGCCTGCTGCAGCCTTTTGGGAGTGTACACCCTTCTTGCCGGTTGTGGGATCTTCACGGAGTGTGCAGCAGGAAGATGATGGCAAACGGGTGGTTCCACAGTCGCAGACAAAGTTGCGCTTGTTGAAGAGCTCGACTAGGGTATGCTCGCCGTGACAAGCGATCGAACACGAGTAACAGACAGCCGCGGCAGTGTAGGATTCGTTGGGGTCGTTAGGGGGAGGATTACAGGTGAGGCAGGCAAAGAGCACCTGTCGCAATGGTCCGAGATCATATGTGCAAGAGTCAAAGGCCTAAAGTCAATGGGTCAGCTGTGGAACAAGTCGCGCGCCACCTGTTTTGTCGAGATACTCACATAAGGAAGAGCCTCGCGCGCATCTGCCTCTAGTTGGAGCTGGGACTCAATAAATCTGGATTCGGTTAGTATGATCACTTTCCTTATGTGGGGGATAGTATTGGGGGAATGCGCCTACTCCTTCGCAGTCTGGGAATTCTGGGAGCCCATGCTCTCACTACGAGCATCCTCAGCGAGCTGAGCAACAACCGGGTGCGGGGCATCCATTGTTGGGAGATTTTTCAGTGTCTTTATCGTAAAAATTGGCAAATAACGAAAGGTCCAAGAGTCATGAGTGTCGAGGCGATGGGTTGGACAACGACGCGACGGATAAGAGTCGCGAATAACTTAGAGTTTCTGCCGGCAGATTCCAACACAAGAAGGGCGGTCTAAATACAGTAGGCATTTTCCAATATCACCTCAACATTTCCAAGTTTAGAATCTCCTCCTTCGTTCATTAATAAATGCAAGCTTAATGTACGATAATTATAACGGGAAAGTGAGGCTAAAGGGACATATTTAGCAGTCGAGATACCTTATCTCTTCTAACTTGCTTCACATCATCTCATACACCGCCCGCGGGCTTAAGATGACCATCGCCCGATAATCTCCGCCTCTGAACTACCGCATGCAACCCCCCTCGTGTGTTTCCTCTAACATTAGACTAGTACGCCAGTCATACAGCTAGAAGTATTCCTAGCTGTTGATATCGCTCGATTTACTAGCACTGTGATCACAGTATCAACGGTCGATGTCGGCCCACTGTCTCAAAACCACACTATGATAGGTGAAAGCAGGCAATGCAGGTCGTATAAATCGGAATATGCTACTAATTTAGAGGCAACAACCGTAGAGAAAGGACTCGACTGTATTTCTGTGACTGAGGACAGATATTTTACTCAAACGATTCCAAAACCTCCAATCATCTATCTATCTAATTACCAGCTTCTCTAGTATTAACTTGACACCCTCCATAAAATGATCTCATAATAGCCGTGTAAAGTCTATGTAACATACTACACGCAGCAGGTTTATTCGAGTTGCTCTATCAGCCATATGGTACGCCGGAATAAGCCAGATTTTCTTTTCCAGTTCACGAGATAGGATGAATTCATCGAACGACATTAAGTCCGGTTTAATCTACTCTTGTTAAGGGTGCTTTTTTCTCTTTCTACCGAGAGTAACACTTGCCTGGCTTGTCAACAATTACTAGGAAAGATGCCAGCATATGCGTCTGGAACAATTGTGACTGACGAAGAGAAAGAGAACAATAGCCAGATGACCAGTGCGCCCATGAGGAATACGTCAAATGCACCACTATCACCACCTCCCGACGGCGGATTTCACGCCTGGGCTCAGGTCGTTGCGGGACACTTGGTGGTAGCCCTGACTTGGGGCTACGCCTCCAGTTTCGGGGTATTCCAAAATCATTATGAATCTACGCTACCACGAATACCCTCCGATATTTCGTGGATTGGTGGATTTCAAGTCTTCTGTCTTTTGTTCATCTCGACTCTCTCTGGCCGCGCGACAGATGCTGGATTGGCAAGACCAGTGGTAGCCCTAGGCGGGCTGCTGTTGGTTATCGGGACCTTTATGACAAGTCTGGCCGTGGAATACTGGCAGATCTTCCTGGCCCAGGGACTTTGCATTGGCATCGGTCAGGGTCTCTGTGGCTGCCTACTGTGACATTGATCTCGACATACTTTGTGCGCTACCGAGTATTTGCCCTCACAGCTGCTGCCACAGGAACGAGTACAGGAGGCATGATTTTCCCCGCAATGATCCAGTATCTAACCCCACATATTGGTAAGTCTACTTCAGTCACTCCGGGGTTCTATAGCTAATTGGATAAATAAATCTTCAGGGTTTCCATGGGCCGTCAGATGCATGGGATTTGTTGTTCTCTTTATGGTCATAATAACCCTGGCACATTTACGCCCTCGACTACCACCACGAAAGGCAGGACCACTGGTTGAATGGAGCGCCTTCAAGGAGCCGGCCTACATGCTTTTTACCTTGGGAGTCTTCCTTCTATACTGGACCCTTTATTTTGCCTTCTTCTACGTATGCTACCAAACAAATATCTATGATTTATTGGGCTGAACATATCCTAGGTGCAAGTCTATGCAACATAAAAGCTCGGTTTGTCCCAAGAAGCGGGAGTCAATCTGATCATCGTCACCAATGCCCTTAGAATACCAGTCCGCGCCCCTTGTGGCTATCTGGCCGATCGTTATACCGGCCCACTCAATTTACTAATTCCTTGGGTAGCACTATGCGGTATTCTGATGTTCTGCTGAGCCGCCGTTCATACTGTGGCCGAACTATATGTATTTGCTGTGTTTTATGGACTGGCATCGGCGGCGGCTATGGCTTTGTTCGCTGGCACTATTCCGTCACTGACTAAAGATCTGGACAAGATTGGAACTCGAGTCGGCATGTCACTCTCCATGATAAGCTTCGGGCCCTTGACCGGCCCATCCGTGGCGGGGGCGTTGATAGCACGCACGGGAGGTGGCTATTTGGCTGGGCAAATATGGACAGGGTCAACCTTACTCGTGGGAGTATTAGCTCTTGTAGGAGCACGGGTCATAATATCGGGACCACATCTCCGAGCAAAGCTATGAGGATTATACAACAACAAGGGAGAAATATATGCAAAAAGACACATAAAAAGACTCAAAAGAACTACTGGAAAGACTACTAAACATACATACTTATTTGGGTAGTGAGATTACCGTGGCACCTTCCCTCCATGTAATCTTATTGCTTGTTCTTGCCTCATCTTCCTACTACGTACTTGCATGTAGCACATGAGCAGTCCCTAGCCATTCGACCCATCTCAATGCAACAACCAAGGAGATTACGGCTGCTCTCGCTCGCGCCAACTGTCGCCATGGCTTCATTGGTGGATATGTGGTACCTCTTGTCAATGGAGTGTGACGAACCCTTTGCATAATCACCCGAGCTAATTTTAACTAGGAAGTTGATATCCTCATTGATGCATACCCGTCCAATGTCCGAAAACTGCTGGTCCAAGTACCTACTTGTCCTAGACCCGGTTTGTATGTATAATAACGATGTGGTCAAAGTTGAGATTCTTCGTGGCGGCAAAAATCGACCGATGAAGCTTCCTGACGCCAATTCCGTTTCTCTCTACCATGTAACCATCAGAATACAGTCCCTATCGTAAACCTGCCCGTTCTCATGCTCACAATTAGCTAGCGTTCGGGTGTCGTTCGCCGAATTGACCGGAATTATCCCACCCGATTTCTTTTCAACATTTGAAATGTTCGCATGGGCATTCTATCTTTGGATACATCCAATGAGTTTAGGATAAGCGTCAAATGCTCACAAATCTTGACATGCACAATATAAAACGCCTGCCGCGGGGTATGATTTCAAAAACTAATAGTCTAAAAACTTAACTCTATATAATCCACTGATCATCCCCCATACTCGGCATCAACGAACCCAACCCACTCCACTGCTCGATCGAATAAGCCATTTGGAACATCTCCTGCATCGGCATCACATAAGAAGGATCAAAAGCAGACGCATCCGACATGAGACTATCAAGCCACTCTGATCCGATCTCATTTGACTTCAAGTTCTCGATAGGCGCTTCGTCCAGGCCATCAGGGCCTGCGATTGAACCTCGCGAAGCTGAATAGGATTGCAAGAGAAAGTCTATTTTGGGGGCTAGGTTACGAAGGATTCTGCCAGCGCTAGTCGCGACTGCGAAGCATTCGCCGAACATATCGAATATGTCAATTGAGAGATCAACGGCTTGGCGGGCATCGGAGACTAACTCGCTGTGCGGATTTGCGAGGACGAACCCTACGATGGTCATAGATGCGTTCCATTGCCATTGAAATGATTCATGCCAGCCATTCAAAATCGTTGTCGATGAAAGCGCTTGATGTGTGATGCTGGTAAGTGTAACTGCGTGGAGAGCGCACTTAGTGGCCAGCTCACGAGTCAAAGCTGGCTGGCGCCCTGGAAAGAAGGAGATGAAGGGACGATAAACGTTTAGGCATAGTGTGTGGTATAGAAGCTCCAAATTTAAGCGCTGGCGCTGGAGCCATTCGGGCGCAAATTGCTCAAACTCCATCTGAGAGCCGTCTGTCGAGAAAGTCGCACCGTTCCCTTTTCTTTTCGTCTTGAGTGAATTAGGCACTTCCTCTCGCCATTGATCCATTTTGGACGTCTGAGATTGCAGATACCCAGCGTGAGACTCGAGTGTCTCCGGGCTGTGCCAGATAGATTGACCATCCGGAAGATTTAGTTCTTTGGCATAGAAAGCCACGTGAATCTCCTTGGCAATGGTAAAAAGCTCGACGTTGTGGAGATGGAAACTAAGCCAAGTCTTATTTCCCCCAAGGGGAGTAAAGCGGGATCCTGACTGCATGGCAGTCTCAGGCCTGTCATCAGGAAGTCTAGGCTCGATAGAGGACCGATGAAGAGTAAATGGACGTCCAAGTTTCATTCCAATTTTGGCATCCAGCTGGTACAGAGCCCACCATAAGCGCCTGCGCAATTCACGCTCTGGTTCGGGCATCGACGAGGGAGGATCCAGATGAAGCCCGGCAGTATAGGCAGCTCGAGTTGCACTACCGCAAGCATCCGCTGACATGTTTTGGAATGATCCATTGCACAAGTAGATAGCGCTGAGTAGGAAGCACTGCACGGTTGATACTGTTGGGCTTTCTAGATGATAGGTTAACATCATCTGGGCCCGTCGGAAATACCATCGACCAGCAATGCTGGGGTCACCGTCAGCGATGGGCTTTTGCTTCTCTGGTGTCAAGCGTGATACTCCGTATTGCATGGACAAAGCGAGGACAATGTCCACGAGCGCGCATGGTGTCCTTGAATCTCCGGAATCGTTCCATAGAGAGCGATAGTGATCCATGAATTCGGTTTCATTAATTGCTGGGAATAAAGATGTGTGATAGGACTTCCAGAAGTATTCAAGGAAGTATTCTTCCTGTGTCGGACTCAAAATTTTCTCTTTGGGTAATGGGGAGTCGCCTGAAAGAGCCGGGTGTGTTGAGTCCTCCGGAGTTTTGATGGTGTCAAAGCCAAGCAAGGTATTTACAGTTCCATGAAGAACCATTTCTTTGGTCGCCCCGGACTGTCCCTGGTGAAGACTCGAGTCTATGTAGCTATTCATACGTCCGATGAAGTAAAAGAGCGATGACGGCCCGTACCATGATACATTCGGAGAGCGGGCGGTGCCGATCTCGATTCCTTCCCATGGCTTCTGAGCCATAAGATCACTTTCACCTGACCTTTTTTTCTCTAATTGAGGCTCTGGTGGGGAAGTATTCGTGCGGTTAGGCACATATGGAGAGCCACCTAAAGAGGTTTGCTCGGGTGGACTCCAAGATGAGCTCTCGGTGGAGCTTGCTTGATACTGGGTTTTATACCAGTCCAGCTCATTTTCTAGATCTCTGACACGTAGCTTAAGTCTCTCAGCTTCTCTATAACCGTGATCATGTTACCTCATAAATTCACAACTGGCTGTTCACGTATCTTCATACCTTGTCGCTTGTGGCGATGTCTTCGTTTCATCCACGCCTGTCTGGGTACATGGCTCATCTCTTTGAATACATGATCTACATGGTCGCTGGTTATCGCACTTGGATCTTCTAGCGCGACACCAGTCGCAAGCCCGAGAGACTTGCTTTCGAAGGGGTTTCACTCCGGCACCTGTGCCGGCTGAGACCGGCTTGTTTCGCGGCGAAGAGGTATTCATGATAAATCCACATGCGCCGGCAGTTGTGATCTTTTCTCGAATGGGTGGTATCCATGGGCAATTGAGTCACACGTGAATGGCCTTGGCCTGGAATTGTCGTGAGATTGTCTCAAAAGGGGAGTCGGAATTGTGGGGCTTCTTATTAAAGCCAACAGTGATTGGTCCGATGTCACCACTAATCCTCCCGAGGTCCGACGCATGTTGTAGATTGTTCAGCAGATCTTCCTCTTTTTCTTCCTTTCTTTCTACAATGTTCTTCTGCTTGGTAAAAGTCAAACGTCATATATGGAAACTTGATTTGTATCACCTTGAAATATATCTAAAAACACACTTAATAAGAACAGGTAACAACTTGAAGACGAACAAATCGAAAAAGTACATCACAAGGCCGCATAAGCCGCCGACTATTCTTGTGTATCTTAAATTGATATATTACGTCGATCCAGGTACTTCCGTCTCTACGAGGATCCATCGGATCGATCAAGCTCTAGATGACCTAATAGAATGCACTTGAACTTGAGTATCTAATGTAAAAGAGTAACCTATGAATCAACACATGAAATTCTAAATTTGATGTTCATTCGATGTTGGGCCTGTGATGAATGTATACAATAAACAATTGACCACTAGCAATTATGAAGTTTTGGCCAAGTTGTATATTTTTTTTAAAATGCAAGACTGCGATCTAGGTATACAATGCTGTTTGAAAATGATTCTATATACAATTGTTGCAGCCGCTTTGTACCAGTCGTTGCCTTGACCAAAATGCTTTCATGCTGTCAATTCATATTCACTCAGTCATAGGGTGAACGGTGTTCGGGTGAGCCTTCAAAAATTCAAGGCTGAAGGGATAATCATTATAGCCTTCCCACTGCTTGGGGTAGTAAAATGATGCGCGATTGTAGTGGGCAAGAGGAATACCGTTTTGAATCCTGAAGACCAGGTCCGGGTTGGAAATGAAATAGCGACCAAAGGCAACCATCACATCCCAATTCTTGTAATGCGTCTCCACTGCTCGAGCGGCAGATTCAGGCGTGTAGCCACCTGCTACCATCACAGGCGAGTGATTGTCCCAGGCATCAAGGATAAAGTCCAGTGTCTTGCCAGCATTTATTGCCTTGTCGCCTCGAATCAAAACCCCGGGGTCGCCAGTCGCTTCGACCAGAGATAAGTAGGCAAACTTGACGTCCATCTTTTTAAGCTCGGTGATGAGGTGAGTGTACAGCTCAACTGAGTCTGTCTTCTCGGAACCTTGGAATCCGGCGTAAGGGGAGAAGCGGACAGCTACCTTCTCTGCACCGATAGCCTTGACTACGGCCTTTACAACTTCAAGTGTCAATCTGGATCGGTTCTCGATAGATCCGCCCCACTTATCCGTGCGCTGGTTCACACTAGATGTGAGGAACTGGTCGAGCAGATAGCCGTGAGCAGAGTGGATCTCAACTCCATCTGCACCAGCAGCGATGACACGCTTAGAAGTCTCGACAAAACTTTGAATGGTCTCCAATATCTCATCTTCAGTCAGAGCAGCTGGGGTAGCATCAACACCCTCCATAGGCACCGCACTGCTAGACCGGTATGGGAAACCGCGCTCAGCAAGATGTTTCGAATCAGATGCTCTTCCCATACCCCAGATTTGCTGGAAATAGAAAGAGCCATTGGCGTGAACTGCATCGATGATCTTGCTCCAGGCCTTCACCTGGGCATCACTCACAAAGCCCGGGTTGTTGGCCTGGCCTTCCTCAACATGGGAAATCCCTGTTGCCTCGGAAATAACAAGGGTTCCGGGAACAGAGCCACGATCCGCATAATATTTCTCCATCAAAGGAAGCGGGGTATGGTCGTCATCATTGCGAAGCCTGGTCAAGGGAGGAAAGGCGATTCGGTTTTGCAGTATGACGTTGCCGACCTTCAACGGCTTGTAGAGTCTGGTCTCGGAGGGAACGTATTCGGACACAACGTGTGGACTCATTCTGATTCAATGTGTAGAGATCGTTGGTGGAAATATAGAAGTATTGGAATGTGTAGCCAGATCTATTGTTAGATTGGCAGCTAGACGGGTCTTTTGGTGACTAGGAACATGCAACATGCTGGAAGTTATCGTTAAATAATCAGTAACGGGTTAGCTTCGCACCGAATCCCACCAAAATACTAGAATGTCTCCGAAAAGTTATCAATCGCAGCGTAAGATGGAGCAGGAGGAGCTTCCAGTTGCCCTAATTGAGTGGCTCACTAAGAGCCCCACCTCTCCGACACTCCGATCCTCCATGACTCCGCGACTCCGCGACTCCGGAACTCCGTCTTCACGTTTGACGTTTCAAGCATTCACATTCTTCGCTGACGCATGAGCCTGGAACGCTAGCACTGACCGTCTAGTGCTTACCGATAGCTCAACTCCGTCTACTCCAGATTTTGGCCCCTAGACGTCCGCAGCATGTGTGCAAGCGGACCTCCGGAGACTATGCTGATCCTCTGCTCTTCAGCTCTTCTAGAGCCTCGTATAAATATATGAACAATTCTCTAGCAAATATTTCTCATCACACAGCAGCTTCCAAAACATTCAAAGCATCAGCCTCGAAAGTAAAAGATCTTCTTCTTCTTCTATATCTACTCCCACCTTCAGAGTGACTTACTCCATTCAACACTTCATCAACCAACTCAAACAAAATGCCTGCCCGTAAAGCCCTCATCTCTATCACCTCCGCCAGTGCCACTCTCTTCGATGGTAAGGAGACTACCGGCCTTTTCATCGTCGAAGCCCTGCACCCCTACAAGGTCCTCACTGCGGCAGGCTTCGAAGTCGACCTCGCCTCCGAGTCAGGAAGCTATACTCCTGACTGGCTCTCCCAGCAGCCCGACTTCCTGAACGGTGAGGACCTTGAGATCTGGAACAACCTCGACAGCGAGTTCCGCAAGAAGCTCGACAATATGCCCAAGGCCTCTGAGCTCGACGGATCCAAGTATGGCTTGTTCTTCGCTTCCGCCGGCCATGCTTCTCTGATCGACTATCCCACTGCCAGTGCTTTGCAGAACATTGCCGAGCAAGTCTGGGCCAACGGTGGTGTTGTTGCATCTGTCTGCCATGGCCCTGCGATCTTTACCAACCTACTTGACCGAACCACTGGAAAGCCTTTGATTCAGGGAAAGAAGATTACTGGCTTTACTACTGAGGCGGAGAATACTATGGGAATTATGGCTGAGCTGAGAGGATTTGGATCTGAGATGGTGGAGGAGCTTGCTGAGCGCCTTGGTGCTAAGTGTAAGTCACTAACAACTTCTAAAATTATTGACTTGTACTAACATTATTTAAAGATGAGCGATCTGCTGGAATCTGGGACGACTTCCATGTCGTTGATGGTCGACTCGTCACTGGTCAGAACCCTGCCAGCTCCACCTCTACTGCTAAGGCTGCTATTGAAGTGTTCGATAAGCTCTAGGTACTGCAGAGCGAATACGAATTCTCACTAAATATATAGCGAATTTGGATGTTGGATGTTTGACCATTTCTTGCTTTTTAATCTCATTATTACCTTGGCCTTTGATAGCTTTGTGGATCTATCTCAAATAAAATATGCCTGCATTATTCCCTATATCATCACAAGAATAATCAACCACTTATGCGGCCGTGTGATGTCTTATTAAACATCTTTTTTTAGGTACTTTGCCGTCCTTCTCAGTTGCATAAATAGGCAGCAGAAGGCAGGAAAGTCTTAATTTGTGTATAACCAGGGACTCAGTCAAAGCCCCCAGCTAAAGCTTAGCGACTCTTCATTAGTCTAAATCTGGAAATACTTCCAAGGTTCCAAAGCTCATGTGCTGTGTTGCAGGAATTCAAGCCTCCATCTACCTGCTACCTGCTACCTGAAACCCGTAAAAAATGATTGCCTCGACGAATCGTACTTGTTACAAACTTTCATCATTCATGATCGACTGGCCAAGTGGTTAAGGCGTCTGTCTTACATTTCATATGTTGGAGTTTCACAGAAGGTCGCAGGTTCGATCCCTGCGTCGATCATTGACTTTTTGCAATTTCAATTTTTGCCTTCAGTTACGGTTTAATTTTTATTTCTTTATTTCTATATTTCTAACATTTCAAATTAAGATATGGAGGATCAAAAGAAACCAGGAAGGCGTTGTGTGAATGAGAATGTAGAAAGTGGAAGGCCCACCTTCCCAATCGGGGCTTAATTGAAACGCGTCGCGTCCAACACGCGACTTGCTGCACAACTCGACTTTGCCGCCCCTTCTCCCTCCCTTCATTATTCTATCAACCACGCTACCACACATTCGAGGAAAAAAAACCCCCGAAACATACACACCACTCATCCATACTCATAATTTTCTGGCCATTGCCCATTTTTTCTTTGAAATTTCCCAGTTGAAACACCCACACAATGGAGTGAGTGTGCCTCCTGAATTTTCTGCGCTCAAAAAGCTAATGCAATAATACAGTCCGCTCCGAGCCAGCGACTCGGCCGCAAACCGTGGCCGAGGGGCCAATACTCGTAAAAGAGACAGAGAGGATGACATGTCCTCCCCGGCGCCATTGCCTCCTTCCAGTCGTATGTTTGCTTCTTTGTCCGAGCTGCGTCAATTTGAGACTGACAAAGGTTATGTGCAGCCACCGCTTTGGGATCATCCCCTCCCCCAATCCCCTTTGACATGGGAGATGAGGACGAGGACGAGGATAGAGGTCTTGTGCAAGATATTGATGATATTGATGAATTGGCTGAAGACGAGGATGGCATTGACCTCTTCGGTGACAACTTTGAGCGGGACTATCGTGATGCAGCGCAAGATCGCTATGAAAATGAAGGATACATCGACGATGACGAAGACCATGATGAAATCGATGCCGCAACTCGTCGGCAGCTAGATGCTCGCCTGAACCAGAGAGATCGTGAACTAGCACGTCGGCGCCGCATGCCTGCGGCCTTTTTGCAAGATGATGACGATATGGAATTGGACCTCTCGCGCCAACCCCGACGACGCAGACACCATTACGACGAGGACCGTGAAGATATTGACATGGCCGACGAGGGCATGGAAGAGCTGTCATTGGAGGAACTGGCAGATGTCAAGGCAGCCAACATTACGGACTGGGTGACCCAGCCCCAGGTCCTTCGCTCCATCTATCGTGAATTCAAAGCCTTCCTGACAGAGTTCATCGACCCTACCGGTCAGTCTGTTTACGGTAATCGAATCAAGACACTGGGTGAGGTGAACTCCGCTTCACTTGAAGTTTCCTACGCCCACCTCAGCGAGACCAAGGCAGCCCTGTCATACTTCCTCGCCAACGAGCCCACAGAAGTCCTGAAGGTATTTGATCAGGTCGCGCTCGACGTTACTCTATTCCACTACCCACAATATCACGACATTCACAACGAGATTCACGTCCGCATCACCGATGTACCGATCATTTACACCCTGCGCCAGTTGCGCCAGTCGCACCTCAACTGCCTGATCCGTGTCGGTGGTGTCGTTACCCGTCGAACTGGTGTCTTCCCGCAGTTGAAGTATGTCATGTTCCTCTGCCAGAAGTGTGGTATCACCTTGGGTCCATTCCAGCAAGAAGCTAGTGCGGAGGTGAAGATCTCGTTCTGCCAGAACTGCCAGTCGCGTGGTCCCTTCACTGTGAATTCGGAAAAGACAGTCTACCGCAACTACCAGAAGTTGACTTTGCAGGAGTCGCCCGGCTCGGTTCCCGCAGGTCGTCTGCCCCGGCAGCGTGAGGTCGTTTTGCTTGCCGATCTGATCGACAGTGCCAAGCCTGGTGATGAGATTGAGATTACCGGTGTCTACCGCAACAGCTACGATGCCCAACTGAACAACAAAAACGGCTTCCCAGTTTTCGCCACCGTAATTGAGGCCAATCATGTAGTCAAGGCACACGACCAGCTGGCTGGTTTCAACCTGACTGAAGAGGATGAGCGCGAAATCCGCGCCCTCTCCCGTGACCCCGATATTGTGGACAAGATTGTTCGCTCTATGGCACCCAGTATTTACGGCCACCAGGATGTCAAGACTGCTGTTGCGCTTTCGCTATTCGGAGGTGTTAGCAAACAGGCCCAGGGCAAGATGAATATTCGTGGTGATATCAACGTCCTTCTTCTCGGTGACCCCGGTACCGCCAAGTCTCAGGTGCTCAAGTTCGTTGAGAAGACTGCCCACCGCGCTGTGTTTGCCACTGGTCAGGGTGCTAGTGCCGTCGGTCTCACGGCCAGTGTTCGCCGCGATCCTCTCACCAGCGAATGGACGTTGGAAGGTGGTGCGCTTGTGTTGGCTGATCGGGGTGTTTGTCTTATCGATGAGTTTGACAAAATGAACGACCAGGATCGGACATCTATTCACGAAGCCATGGAACAGCAAACCATTTCTATCTCCAAGGCCGGTATTGTCACAACATTGCAGGCTCGCTGTGCTGTCGTGTCCGCCGCTAACCCCAAGGGTGGTCGGTACAACAGCTCAATCCCCTTCTCGGAGAATGTCGACTTGACGGACCCTATCTTGTCTCGTTTCGATATTCTCTGTGTGGTGCGTGATTTGGTTGACCCTGCCGAGGATGAGCGCTTGGCCAATTTCGTGATTGAGTCGCACCACCGTTCCAACCCTGCCCGTCCCCTCCGCAACGAAAAGGGCGACTTGGTTGATACTGACGGCAATCTCATTGACAATGAGGGTTACCGCATCAACAGAGACGGCCAGAGACTTCCCCCGTCACAGGAGGAGGTCGCCAAACGCGCGGCAGAGAAACAAAGAGCCGAAGAGGAGAAGGAGGGCGAGATCCCGCAGGAGCTCCTGCGGAAGTACATTATGTATGCCCGAGAACGTTGCCACCCCAAGCTTTATCAGATCGACCAGGACAAGGTTGCCCGTCTCTTCGCAGACATGCGCCGCGAGTCCCTTGCTACTGGAGCGTACCCCATCACAGTAAGTTATCTGCCCACTTTCCATACATTGACCATTTTCTTACTCCAAATGTCTAGGTTCGTCACCTTGAAGCCATCATGCGTATTGCCGAATCTTTCTGCAAGATGCGCCTGTCAGAATACTGCTCCTCGCTGGATATTGACCGCGCCATCGCTGTTACTGTGGATTCGTTCATCGGCAGCCAAAAGGTCAGCTGCAAGAAGGCACTCTCGCGTGCATTTGCCAAGTATGTTTACTTCAATCCTTGAATCCAGTGGAATCTTGTACTAATATATACCTCTCAGATATACACTCTCCAGGCCCAAGCCCCAATCCAAGCGCCGTGCGGGTATCCCCGTCTCAAACCCTCACCTGCCACGGGCTCAGTCAACCGCCCATTAAACAGCCTTCTAAAGGAAGGGTTGGGGTGCTTCAGTTGCATGGTTTCTTTTGTGTCATATACCATCTTGTTTGCATTTTATGTGTGTGGCGTTTATGATAGGGGTTCCGTTCTCGGATTGGGCCATGATACGGTAATGAATGGAAAACCAATGAATGATATTTTGAGTTTACATATTTAAGATCGACTTATATTGTAAGATAGCAGGCTGCACTGTCTAACGTCAGCTCTATGTAGTTTCCTGGAAGCATATGCTGGGTTGGACTCGCTCCTCACCACTCTGGAACACGGCATTGTAAGCTATGATGACTTTTATATTTGCAGGTCTACATATAGATGATGCGTTATAGCACCCAATACTTGTTTTACTTTCTTGCATGTAAACTCTTATATATATCACAACTACAACATAGCTTACAGACCGAAAAAACAGGGCTCTCCGTCCACATCCGGGCATAACCCGAGACTGCATCGAACCCTAGGGTTGCGGGTCAGCGTGACACGCGGCAGTACAACGTGGTAATCCGATACCGGTCTATTAGGTGGTTCCTAGATTTAAATCTGACGTGGTCGTAGTTACCTTGTGATATCTCATCGAGGGAGCTATGTTGTAGGGGTTTAACGGTCTAATTACCATCCAATTCGAACAATCTATATAGTTGCAAGCTAATTCTCTTATGCAAGTTCAATGATATATTTTGTTCGGATTATGACCTCATTTGAGATCGCATTCCAAGCCGAGGAATGTTCGATATCTACGGAGTACGGAGTACCGAGTCCTGCTTCGCCTACTAGATGCCGGTTAGACCGTCTGGAGAGCTTGGCATAATACTCGAAATTCGAGATGTTATATGTAAATCGAGCGAATACTATCATTTGGATTGGTCATATCCAGGCACCGGTTATCATGACCAATCTTCAGTTAGTATCTACGGGGACTATGATCTTCTCCCTCGATAGATGGATCATTCCGGATTTCTTCTGGACCGTGTGAGATCTGGAGATGTTCAAAAATGAACCTTTGAAGATAAGATATGGTTGTATCTGTAGATATGTCTACATTCTAGGATAAAGGATGACATCAATCTGGAATGCCAACGTCATTCCGGGTGTTGGCTATTTTTGGTAACCGAGGAATCTTCAATCCCTTTATGTAGGTGCCTGATTAGCTGAGATTCTGGTCCGTAGATGTCCATAGATATCTATAGATATCTATTCGAAGTCACTGTACGGAGTACTCCGTACATAGCAGTTAGTACCTCGTAACTATCACAACATATCAAAGTGGAACCTTGCCGATGGTCTACATTGGCCCCCTGAGGCTATATTAAATACTGTCNAAAAAAAAAAAAAAAAAAAAAAAAAAAAGCTGAATCACAAGCGATAATAGCATAACAATCATAGACAGTAGACAATACATGTAAGAGCAGAAGAGAAGAAAGAAAATAGAAAGATCGACAGGGTCATGTAAAAGAAGAATAATTCCCCCCCAGGAGACGATCACTGGGCATTTTACGTATGCTCGCCTCTCCCGTGTTCCCTATTCCCCTTGCCCCCCCTCCTTTCTCCCCTTAAGACTTTCTTTTCTTTTCTTTCTGTCCTCTTTGTTTCTGATTCTGTTAACCTCTCCATTATTGACTTTGAACTGTGATCGTCTGTACTGTTTTACCCCTGATTATCACTGTTTCAGCAATACCTCCTGCCACTTTCTTCCGCATTCGTGCGACACCTAACGCGGCATCTCATTGAACGCAAACGGCCTCTCCACCCACACCTTGTTTCAGAGGCGAAATATCCATCACAATGAATGCCACTCCAGCGCTTGGATATGCGCCTGGCATCTCGCTGGCTCCGCAAGGTACGTAACCTGAAGCGCCTCCCCTGATGACTGGATATCGTGCGTTACCACTGGGGATGGTCTGAACCCCCCCCTGACCCTTAAAATGATACCTTCCCTTGACTTTCTGGTCCAAAATATTCCCTTTTCAGACCTGTATCTGATTTCAAGCATCTTTGCGAGCAACAGCACATCAAGCCTCTCCAACAGCGGCCAGCTTTGGCTCTAATAACCCATTCCGAAACCGCGCTCTTTCACCCCCAGTTGCTGGATCTATTTCATCGAACAACCGTCCAGAACGCCCACGCTCTACAAATCCATTTTTAGACGATACAGAGGCGATGTCTCCGCAGTCCGCCCCTGGCATGTCGACTGGTGTCAGCATGATCTCTCCTATTGAGAACGATATGTCGAGCAACACTCGGGACCTTTTTGTATGTTTCGCATAACCTACGTGTTCAAATCAGGTCTAATCTTTTTAACAGGAGGCCCTCTCCCTCAAGCCTGCTCCGCCCGCGCCATCTGATGCCACCCAACGCAATTCCTCCAACCGCAACAGACCTTCAAGCCAGCGCCCGGAGCGTCCACCAGGGCGATCGGCGCCGAAAGAGAAAGACCTCCTCGACATATTTGCCGATCCCCCTACTTCGTCCCAAACTGCCAAAGACAAGGCACCCCGTCGTCCCCGACGGAACTCGGAGTCGTCGGTAATGGACCGAAGCTCAAAGTTGTTGGATGTTGATGATGACGAGAAGCGCCGACGCGAACGGCGCCGTGAGCGCGAGAGTCGTAGCAAAGATGGCAAATCGCGCTCGGGCCGCAAGGATCGACGACTTGATATCATTGACAAGTTGGATGTGACGAGCATCTACGGCACTGGAAGTAAGTGTCTCGGCTTTTATTTTCCTTTTTCCCACTTTCGAGTATACGACTCATATGCTAACGATTATAATAGTGTTCCATCACGATGGTCCCTTTGATGCCTGCAACCCCCATCGCAATCGCCGCGGCGTGCGTACCGCGCCAATGCAAGCCTTCCCTAAAGGTTCTAGCAACATGGCTCTGGGCGGCTCAGGCCCCAACAACTCTAACATCGATCTCAATCTTTTCCACGGCAGAATGGAGGAAGGCCACAACGACTTTTCCACCGCTGCTCGCAGCACTGCTGAAACGGCCGTCATAGATCCCACTGCCCGAGTGGACCCGATTCATGGACCACAGAGTATGGGACTGGGAACCAGCACCTTCCTCGATGGAGCTCCCGCTAGTCGATCTGCCATGGCACGCCGTCAGAGCGAGAATGAAAGCAGTCTGGCAGTGAATGGTGGTGGCCTTGCACGAAAGAAGAGTTTGGCTCAGCGACTCCGTGGACGAGGTGCTGGACCTGGCCGCATTGCTTCTCCAACCGACAACTATTACCCCGCTCCGCCACAGATGGGTTCCAGTCATTCTGGATCTGCCCGGGCCAATGAGAGAAATCCCTACTTCCAAGAAGAAGAATACGAGGAAGAGTGGGACAGGAAGGGATCGAGTATCGAAGCTCGCCTTGAGGGCGGCCGAGTTCGATCGTCTAGCAGTCCCAAGCAAATGGAGCGCAAGATCACCAACGACCGACCCTACGAAGAGTCGAAGCTTAACCCTGGTGGTGGTAGTGGGTTCTTGAACCGTATGAAGAGTCTCCGCAAACCCAAGCCGGAGAGACGGACCAGTGATTAAGTCACCTAGCAGTCACACATTGAGCCTGTCCTGGAATTATATCGATGTAGCAAGCGGGCCTTTCTCACTCGGATGCACCTTCGGGATGCATCAATCCCATGATTCTCTCACCATCTCACCATCTAACTCCTCAATGAGGAGAGATGATTCCACGCGTTAATACCCAGCATCGAGCACCGATGAACACATGGTGCTCACCATGGCGTTCATATATTTCGGAAGAGCATGCTTCAAAATGCTTCTGATTCCAGACCGCCATGAAACACAATGCCCTGATCTTCAGACCATGGCTATGATTCGGAGTTTTTAAAGGTTTATTCTCTTCTTGTATCTCACTTCAGCCTTGCTTTCAGAAAAGAAACATGTATTTTTTTTTACCGATTGCTGTTTCCCGTATCAGTATCTTTGAATAGGACATGATAATTGAACTAGTTGCTTCCAACATGGTTTCATCCCTAGTATATCCGTTGATAAAAGTACTGGACAGCCATATCTCACACATGACATTTAATGACTGTGTCATGCCCTTGACCCTCGTTGTGAAAATTCTTTGAGTTTCATGAGACCAAGTCATGTGTGATATCATCACCCTGCCGGCGAATGAGCACCGTACAACCTATGGCTTAGATATGGGGATCGATGACTATGCTTTTATTGTTGGATTTTATATATTTCATTGCAATGAAACGTCCAACCGTGGAGGTTCCTGGTGCGCACTGACCATTAAGCTAAGCGCCATGCATATAAATTTCATGCGATATAGTTTTTGTTCTCTCATTACCTCGGTCCTTCATTAAAAGACAATGCATTGTTCTCTATGGATGGCGTCCCAGACGATACATCGTTGTTGGGCTCACGGCCATTTAGACTGGTGATAGAAACCAGTACTTACTATAGCTGTGACTTTGTATGTATATTAAGATGCTCTAAAATGATGAGGGATCTCAAGATATTTAAAAAGCAACATTTGCCGTGAGAATCAGTCTCTATCATCTTCAAGCCCATCAATCATTGAGCTCTCTATCCCTCCAAAATCACAATCATATATATCACCATGGGCCAATATTCGTCGAAACCCCTCAATGTATACATCGTACACACCCCATCCGCCCTCGCCCAAGCCTACTCATGCCTATTCGTTCAGTCCAGTGAGAAGAATAGAAAGATAAAAGGCGATCTCCACTTCTTTGTTGCCGACAATAACACCTCATCGGGTGTTCTTCATCGGCGTTCAAATGCAAGTTACAATTCTCGTGAACTGAAATTCATTGGGACTACTCCTGTTAAGGGCTATCCTGGAAGTTGGGATTGTTCCCTGCAGTATCTGCCTCACCTAGGCCCGGACAGCGAACCGATTATGAGCGCTACAGCTCTCGTCGATGTAAAGGAGGAGAGTCAACAGGGGATGTCTTATTCTGAGAAGGTTTTGATCCAGTTGGAAAGAAAGCGTGTCTTGATGCGCTCCCGTGGTTTGATTGGTTGAAGTAGGGAGACTTGTCTGTTGGTTCTGTTGGTTCTGTTGTTTGTTGTGTATACATATAGTCTGTGTTGTTGAATCTATTGGTATTCATAGGCTTACAGCTTAGCTTCTATAGATAGAGTAATATTGAAGCCTTAGCGTTGGCTTGGGAGACTGAAATAGACCTTAAACAATGGAGAGGCGCTTTGTGTTTTCTTTGAAATAAAGAAACAGAAATAGAATTAAGAATTAAACAAGGGACAAAGGGTATTTAAGAGGGAACGTTCGCCATGTAAACCTGTCTCTCTAATATCCCCAAGTCTAGTTTGTATGTACTGATCATCGTCCTCTCTTTATCTCTCTAGTCCTACAAAGCAAACCCTCGAAAGCGACTCTGTACCATAAACAGAACCAAAAATACCATGGAGAACATCACTAGCAGCATGGATAACGTGGCTTTGGCCAGTGCAACATACACAGTCTACCTCGTCAAACAAGAATGCAGTTCCTCTGCACCTGAAGGCGGTTTGGCCATCTTTGTTTACACCAATGAAGGCGAAGACAGCGGCGACATTCACTTCATTGAGTCTGGCAATGCCAGTGTCTCTGGATTAAGCTACCAGCACCAGACTATCCGCGTTGATGAGATCAACCAGATGGGAGAAAACTTAATGCCAATAGGCACTACCCCTGCCCAGAAATATCCTGGTAGTTGGGTTGAGGTGATGGGGAAGTTGCCTCTTTTGTTAGCCAATGAGTCTAATTAACGTGATATGTTGAATCTCTTGGATTCGCCGCTGAAAGTCTCCCAGTGGACTCAGCTGGCTAGGCCCACGCTGAAGAACGCTGGGCTCTTGAAGGAAATCGAAGCTGCTCCAACTACATTTCACGTTAGAACTTGAGGTGGTATATGGATGAAGAGAGAAGTGAGAGAAGAAGAAGAAGAAGAAGAAGAAGAAGAAGAAGAAGAAAAAAAAGGCAACGAGAAGAAGAAGGGTATATGGTTTGAGGATATGAGTTAAGGGCAGGGGAGAAGAGGTGCTGAATTGTTAGTTCTGTGTATATAGACATTCTATGAAAGCGGAAGTATGTATTGTATACCAGAATGAGATAGACATATACTTCAACTCGATTTTTGAAACTGACAAACATTTTATTCCTGAAAAGTAGACATTAGAAATAAGAAATATATCCGATAGCTATTTATACTTGGATGTTTGCACATTTTTAACCTTGATGGACGCTATCGCTTTCCGTACAACCTCACCTTTGAAGCTCTCACCAGCTTCTGCCATTTCACCTCAAGCTTCTCTACATCACCACCATGGAGGATCGACCAACCTTGACCAACCCGCGATTCACTCTCGAGCTTGAATTCGTCTCATCTCTCGCCAATCCTTACTATCTGTCACACCTGGCAGTCACCTATCCCAATCTCCTGGGTATCTCTCGTGCTGACGATGACGATGATTCCCCCTCGCCAGACGCCGAGGCATTTGCAGCCTACCTAGCCTATCTCTACTCCTACTGGAAGACACCGGAGTATTCTCAGTTCCTCACCCACCCGGGTCCCACACTTCGAGCGCTTCGACTGCTCCAGGAGGATACCTTCCGCCGTGACATTATTCTACCCCAGGTCATTGAAGGCCTGGCAGGGGTCAGTGTCCCTGAGCCAGCCCAGACCGAGGCCGATACAGCAGATGAAAAGCAGGAAGACGATCAAAATGGAAAGACATGATGGGCTTCAATTTCGACTACGCTCGATGCGACCGAGAGCTTGTTTCCTGGGTACAAAACATACGAACAGATCGTGCCCTGCCAGTTTTAAGTTGTACACGAAATTTACACTCTGGCTCTGGCGATCCCATCCCCACCGAACTCGGCTTTTGACAAAGTTGAGTATGAGAGTTGCGTGAACGCGCTTCATGTGCGACCGAGGCTCCGAAGTTGTCAATCGAACCCTCCAGCAAACCCCCAACTTTTCAAGGGTCCCCCATTCACTCTGACGCCGGTGGCAGAGAATTGCGGGGAAAAGGACCAAGCGGCGTTGGGAAATTTCTCTCCTGTACTATTGTGGCTGGAATATACCTCTCGAAGACGATATGTCATTGGGGTTATCGCCACACTCTCCTAGGCGTTCAATGAAAGTGACCGTGGCAATTACAATTAGCAGTATTACCTCAAATTAAGCAAATTCTCTGAAATATGAAAGGACAAGCCCTAAAGGACCTATACTTATACTTGTAAGACCAGGCAAGATAAACAGGTCGAATAAGCCCGAACATCCCGAGAGCCCAATTTTTTTTTTTTTTTTTTTTTTTTCCTTCTCTCTTTTCTTCTTCAATCATCTCCCCTTTCCAACTTTCATTCGTTTTTACTTAGTACAAAAGTCCATTTTCGAAGTGTTCCTGTGCCTTTTCAGACCCCGTTACAACAGAGCCCCACCCCCTGGTAATCGGGCCTGAACTACCACCTTAACCCGTTATCGTCCACGTTGCGCCGTTCGGACATCCCCACGACTTTCTCATGGCCATTAACTAGTCCTCCTTCAAGCACCCGGGTTGACTCCAATTTATCTTCCACACGTACTTCCAAGACTGTTGCGCTCTTCCGTGGACCCCCGCCACCTGGAACTGCATGTGGCATTAGGTTACCAATGGAGTCCGTTCGCCAGTCTTGTCGGCCAAAGCACCAGGTTTTGACCTTGAAATGTTATCCAAAATACCAGAAGGGGGTGTCGGAGGTCCGGCCGAATTCCAGTGAACTCTCCTACCTGCTGTACTATACGAGCACGCGCCGCAGCAAGCTGACCAAGGTCGGCGGTTTCCTGGAGAAGAGAGTTGCCCGGGATGTCTGGAGACGCAGAATAGGGTGAGCGCAGATTGATCGAATAATTGAACTTAACAAGACGAATGGCTGACCGATCCCATTGAATAGGAATGTTCAGGTGGCGCTGCATATCCTGGCTGCGCTCATTGAAAAAGTTCCCCGCGACCTTCCTATCTACGCCCGATCCGTCATGACGGTAATCGATACCGTTCTCCGATCCAATGACATCAATATGGTGGAGGAGTCGATTGTGACATTTGAAATGTTCTGCCGGCATCAGGACATTGCGGCCATCGCGGCTGACCAGGGCCTCGCACATCAATACCGAGAAGTTGTGCGAACTTACACCAGCCTTGCCGACCCTGAATTTACATCCAACTCGAACTCGGATTTCAGCCCGCAGGTGGCCATCCGATGGAGAAATGCGGGACTGCGAGCTATTAGAGCTGTGGTCAGCTCGGATACCTTGGCCGCCGATGGAGGAATATCGCTGAAGCTCTGTTTGCCGGTGATTCTGAAGAACCTCTATTCTGAAGATGAGGATCTTCTTACGACACTGAAGGCTAAGCTAACCGAACCTGATCCGAATGATCGCGAGGGGCCCAAACCCCGCCGAATGAGTGTCAACACGGTCCACACAGTGGACACGGCAGAGGGTGACCCCGAGCTGGCAGCGCAGTCAGCCGCTGAAGCGGATCTCAAGGCGGAACTGGGCGCTCGCCTCTTGGCCCTCCGCTGTCTCGAGCAAACCATCGTCTCGGGAAGTAATCGGGGCCAGATCCGTATTGCAGTAACGGTCATTCTACAGTTCATCTCAAGCAAGGGCATGCCGCAGATTATTGAGGGCAAAAGTGGCAACTGGGCAACATCTCTGATCGAACTCATTGCGAACTGGTGTCCGGTGCAAGTTCGTTTTATCATCTTGAGCACAGCGATGGAGACTCTCCACGATACGAGCCCCCAGGAGGATGCTTTGGAGTCGTCATTCACCATTCTCTCTGTGGTAGATTGGCTCCTCAGGTCTTCTGTGAACATGATTGGTCTCAGCGTCATGGACATCCTCTTTGGACTGATGCACTACGCTTCTGATATACTATCACCGCCAGAGCGTACTGGCTCCGCAGGATCAGAGAAAAGGTCAAATCGACAAACTGACACCGTGGTTCAAATCTCTCCCCGACGACAGGATCTTCTTACGCTACTAGAGCAGTGTATTGGAGATCTTGCAACGCACATCTACTATGGAGACCAAGTCGCAGACATGATGCGTGCTATTCTCAAGCGTTTCAAGCCTATTTCCCACAATGATAGTTCTGCGCCATCCACATTGGCAACCGTTCATGAATCTGGAGTGGCACATGAGGGCTCAACAAATTCCGGATCTGAGACATATGGAGAGAAAGCAAGCGCAGAAAGCTTCTCGCATGCTGCTTCTAAACTGACTGCTCTCCGAGCCGTCAAGGCTATCTTGGTTGTGGCCAATTCAAAGACGCTAGCAACTATGTCCGGCGCCGAATCTAGACAGCCAGTCGGTATCCATGTGTGGGAAGGAACCCAAGTACTTCTTCGTGATGCGGATCGTGATGTTCGCTATGCATACACCGATGCATTCCTATCATGGCTGCGGACTGAGACCAACGGGAACGACCTCAAGATCAAATTGGATTCACCCAAGTACGTCAAGACGACCCCCAAAAGAGACACCGAGCAAGCGGATAGATCGAGTCGACGAGGTAACTCGGCCCCTGCGAACCAGAGGGACAAAGTGGCGCTGGTGGCACAGTCGAACTTCCTCCGTCTTCTCCACCTGGCTATCTACGATGCTGCACTCGAGGCAGCTACAGAGGAAGCTGAGATTCTCCTACTACACCTACTTCTTGCAAATCTTGTCGAGAACCTCGGTGTTAATGCCGCTCAATTCGGTGTTCCTATGGTCCTGAAATTACAAGACGACTTGTTTACATCTATAGATCTGAGTTCCGTCGCAGCTCGCGTTAATATTGGAAGCTTGATACATGGATACCTTCTTGCGCTGTCTGAGCATTTCGATATGCAGTCCTCCCCCGTGGGTCTTGAGATCAGTAATGAGATTCAAGAGCGACAGGGCAAGGGTGATTGGCTTTCCAAAATCCGCCTGCCCCCAGTCGATCTTTATGCCATTGTTTTTGACAGCGAGAAGAGGTCTGACAATGACTCCACCTCCCCACCTCCATTGACACCCTTCCGTAATGTCGACGGACTTGTCTATATGATTGAAGAGTCTTATCGCAAATCGGTATCGTCTCCTCCACAAAGCCCTTCGACCTCTTCTCCAGCACGAGGATTCACATTCCCGGTCCTTGGGCAAACCTCAACAACAGTGAAATCCCAAGTCGAGGGCGGCCTCCCACCTGTCGTGAAAGAACAGATGTTGTCGCCGTGGTCTCGCGAGGCGTGTTTGGCAGCTGTCGATAAGGAAAGCACTGGAACATCATCGATCAATGGCTCTCGGGCTACTCCAAATGCTCGCAACAGCCAAAATCAAACCAATGGGGCTACAAATGGCTCACCTACCGGCTCCCAATATAATCGCCGCATGAGCGTCCCGGAGATATCAGCGTCGTCATCCCAAGGCTCGAGCAGAGGCTCGCCCGTTCGTGTCAATGAGCTTCGACGCGTGCTTTCGGTTACGAACGACTCCCATGCTCGACGCCTCAGCCCACTGCGTGGACGACTTGACGCATCAAATGCTAGTATGATCTCTTCCGGGAGCGATAGCATGGTCAGCGGCAACTTCTCAGTTTCCGAGATAGATGGAGAGGCTACCTCAATACGGCCAGAGAGTCAACGATTACCCGATGAAGAGGGAACGGAGACACCCCGTGCTTCGGCTGCGGGATTTTTTCCAACAGGGGATAAAGCCACAACTGGCGAAGCTCCGACTCCACCACCCCTGAATCGTGTTGATTCAGACGCAGAGATCCCTCCCGTCCCACCGATCCCAGCCGGCTTGTCAATCCCGGGTGGTTTCCAGAATGACTCACAGCGCTCGCTGCCCTCATATGATCGCCCATACACCGCGCCGGGTCCCTCAGCAGTGAGGGACAGGGCTGAAGCCAGTGCTTTGAACAACAAGCCTCTAAACCGCAACAAGAGCCGGTCAAACCATAGCCTTGCCACTGCTGGAATCCCTGAACTCCCAACCGACTATGACTCCGATGCCCTAGATGGTAGTCACCAAGATCAACTGAGGAAGCTCTTGGATGGGTTCCTCGCGCCCGGTGAGACCACGCGGACGAATGGAAACCGCTCGACAATTGTCAAACCTGCTTCTAAGGCTCCGCTGAGCGGATCCCACAGCAAACGACAGGTTAGCGGAGGGCTTGGTCGGCCACCCTATTGATCTTTCTGTTTGATTTGCACTTTTGCATCATTCTCCAGGCATCTTTGCAGCCATTTCCATTTCCTGGCCACTCATATGTTTATATAATTTTTTTTCTCTGTTATAGCTGTTTCTTCTTTTTTTTTTTACCAGCCCTGCCTTGCCTTGCATGGATCTTGTCTTGGCTCATGTCGAATGTTGAGTTGCTGGCTGGTAAAATCCCAACCTGTTCGAGATACGCATGTCCATTCTGTTTTGCCATTTTTTTTTGCCCCCATTCGGTGTCTATCCTTGTTATCCTTTTCCTTTCCACTTGCATATTTTACTTCGAAACTTCGGACTCCTTTTTTTTGTCTGTCGGCACTCACATTTTTTCTATTTGTTAGCTTGCGATGGATAATCGCAGCGTGATGTATCTAGCTATATTGTCGATAAACATAAAATAGACGATGCCAAAACGAACATGGCAAGACATCGTAGTTTGGTAAATGTGTAACTAACTAGCCATATGCAGTATTGGATTGGACTTCGAATTTGAAGCTAGTATCTAAACGACGAAGCACACGCAGTTGGGATATCATACGAGAAAGGAAAACGCACAAGAGAAGAGAAAACAATCAAAGCCCACGCTGCACAACAAGACCCGGTGTCGTAGGACGCGACTCCTTCTCCAGCGGAGCAAAGTACTGACTAAAAGCCTTGCGCAGGGTCTTTTCAGACAGTTGCATATGCTCTCCAGGGGCAGTATTGAAGTCCAGCTTCCCTTGCTCATCAAGCTGCTTCAGTCCCAGCCAATCCTCCTTGTAGATCGGCCTCTCGCGTAGAGGTGTCACCTCGCCACTAGTGGCATTAACCTCGGAGAACAAAGCACTCTGCTTAGGAACAGCAACAGTATCCTCCTCAAACATGAACATCGCAAACCGATTCAACGACGCCAGATTCTTCTTGTAAGTCTGGTTCTTGACCGCGCGCTCGTTGTTAATATCCGCCAGGAAATTACTATACTCTAGATACACATCCAGCTCTTCCGGGTCGCGGAAGTACTGCGCCGGCACGACGCGCGACTGCGCAAAACTCGTCCACCGTCCCGATCGTAGTAGTTGCTCGGCCCCCTTACAGAACCAGTTGTCAATGGCGCACGACTCAAACGCCGAGATGCCGTTGTGCTGACTGCCGAATGTAACGAGGTTGTGGACGGGTGGGGTGTTGCAGCGCTCGATGTACCCGCGTAGGAATTGGCCACCCTGCGAGAAGCCCAGTGCGTTGATGGCGGGTGCCGTGCTGAGGATGGGGTCTGCGGCGAGCTGTTCGCAGACTAGGGCGATTTGCTCCGTTACGTTGCCAAAGAAGGTTGCGGAGCGGTCCCCGCTGCCGTCGTTGGCTAGTCGGATGACGTGAATGTATGTGCCGGGATTGGTAGATTCGGCTAGTTTAGCAACTTCAGCGAGCCCTTCGCGTTCGAAGTCATCGCCCAGACCGTGCCAGATCACGAGAGGGAGCTGGGTTTCGCTGGCTGCATATGTGGCGGATTGCCACGGGAGCGCGATTGAGAGGGCATTGGTGGCTAGTGCGGCTAAAAGGGTGATAGAACGCATGTTGGAATGATGGACCTGACGAGAGATCTTTGAGATGTCAGTGTTGTTGATAATTGGAGATGGTGGTGGAGACGGAAATGACGTTGCCTCTGAAGGCAGGTACCAATCATGTGATGACCGAATGCGGTAATTTAGATCTATCGGAACATAAAACAGGTACAATATCCGATGTACAGGAGCATGAACGATTAAAACGTACATATATAATAGCCTAGGTAGTGGGATTGGTTGGATGAAGAAATATAGTAGTCCATTTCATTTGTTGGTATGGTGTATTGATCGTTGTCCTTCTAGGTGCTTCAGCCTGCGGACCTCGGAGAGATCTAACGACATTCCCATGATACTGTTGGTCTACGATGTAGCGAGCATGCTACCCCAGGGAAGGCGATTTCCGGACGGAGTGAGAGATATAGATGCACCCATCTGATATATGGCTCCGAGAACATGTCCCATTTATCTGACTTTATCTGACTTTCTGAATGAAAATGAGCGTTGAACATTATAGACTGCTGGACATAGCCCCGCGCTAAGGTAATTGTGAACGGGGAAAGAGATTGGTAATCCAGGTAGCTGTCAGGTTCTCTTTCCCCAGGTCCTGTTCCACAACAGGAGATCCCTCGTGATCAAGTAGCATTGACTGTGATGACATGCTGTTCATGGTCACCCTTGAGCTATCATTGGATTGCACCACGGGTCGTCCGCTGAACTCAAACTGGATGTCTTCTTCAATGGTGTCGATTACCGAGGAAGAATTTCTGGCTCTTCGTAGAGGTCTAGGCCGCTCAAAAAGAGTAGACCCATTGTTGTCAAGCCGTTTCCTGTCCTTGCCATTTAGCTTTCGTCGCTTCCCAAACCGCTCGACTTCCTCCACAGATGTGAATTCAAGCTCGAGTGGACGTGTAGCAGACACGGCTGCCCAATCAGGTTCTTTCAGCAGCTGGCGCTTGACCTCGGTCAAGTCATTGCCACTATGAGTGGACTGACCACCAGTTGAATGTGAGACCGGCTCTTCCGCAACTCTAGAATCAGCGCTCACACGGGTCAGTAAGATAACGCCCACACGGATTGGCGGAAGTAAAGGCAAAGCAATCAACAGTTCTTGACTGACTGATTTCCATTTGTCTCTGTCTCATCCTTGTCCCTAGTGCTCGAGCCCTTGAATCCAATATCAGGGAAGTTTCGGAATGGCGAAGGCGGGGGAATGACCGTGCCATTTTGGAGTCTCGCCCTGGCAAAATTCTGCTTCTGAGCTTTGGTCAACAGGCCTGAGCGATTGTGATGACGCTGCAGTTGGCCGCCTGTCCAATTCATCATGCCAAGGAATAGAGAGTGGAGAGTGGATAAACCTTTAATGGGCCTCTAACGTCAGTTGAGGATGTGGGGTGTTTGCTCAGGACAGACACAAACAGTGTAAATCATACAAACGTATAGACAGCACGTGATCTCAGCGCCTACAAAAAAATATTTTCTTCCTTTTCTTCTTCCTTTTCTCCGTCAATCATATCCCAGACTGCCACAGCCCTCGAATATGACTTGTGTTTCATGACAACTCATCCCTTGCTCTTCCGACAATTCCCGCTAACAGGTAAGCCCATTATTTTTTTTATTTACATTTTTTTCCCACTGTTTCCCAAGGGCATTTGCCTTTTGTGATGAACAAACAATATTTAAAGCATAGTTCACCTGAGATCTTCGGATTGCTGAACGAAAACATATTCCATCTTTCATTTTCTGATCTTATCAAACTTGATCTATTTTTTTTCTCATACAACACTTCTTTTGAACTTGGCTAACTGAAAAAAAGGAGACCCGAAAATAGGAAAAAATGCCTGCATTGCTGCCCAACGTGGGTCTGGCTCCCTGGCTCGCCCCGTCCCGTTGTCCAGTAATCTTAGTTATACTAGCATTGATTTCTGTTTTGGATAAATCACATTTACAATCACATTTATCATTTATATTATTTAATTCTTGTTTCACTGTATTATAAGTTCAAAGCCCTAACCGCTATGCGAGTACAAGGTGACCTCATGCTGCAGGTATATTTCGCGTGGCACTCTCGACGTGGGATTCTCCCCTCCATACGATTACTTGCCCCAGTGCAACTGAGTTGTACATCTCATCGACCACGCGAGTGAACCTGCCGATCGTTTAATGCGGACATCATCATACAGGGTCAGCCTGTCTCTTTATCACCAATCATACTTCTCGCCAAGCACTCCAGACGCCGAGCCCGTCTCACCGCTAGTAAATATCCCTCCACTCAGTCCAACGAACACCCCCCCTAATCTGCAGATGCCATCACCGCCAGTTTGCAGCACTGGCTCTCAGAGTGCCAACAGCGCACTCATCTCCTGCACGATGCGAGACTGGCACACGCCATGTCTGATGGCCCACAGACCCCCTAATGTCCAAGCTTTCATTTTTTGTGTGTGCTAAAAAGGCCGCTGATCCCCCTCCTTCATCCTGATTCTTCTTTTTTATTTCTTAACTCTGAATACCCCTTTTTCTGCAACCAATACCTTGTGTATCACTTTTATATATACTCCTCTTCAACACAACAAACTCAGTCCCTGGACCAAGGACAACTTCTTTCTTAACCTAAGACTCCCTGGTTTTTGATACAATCACTGCCACAAGGATTTCTCTCTGCCACATACTTCCCCGGACAGGATTTGTTTTCTTGTTATCTCCCAGGCTTTTCTTTAGTCTGCCCACACATCTCGACAAACACAATAGGTAGCTCCCGTCACATTTTCTTTACAATTGGTTCTCCTATGCGTTGTTTTCTTTTCCTTACTCTCTTCCGGACCTGTACCGCTATCAACTGTGCTTGCCAAGGATATCGACAGCCTATTTCCCAGGACCCAAGGACCTTAGACCTGCTCCCACTCCCGGACTTTTGGCCAATTGCTTTTTATTTTATTTTGGCGACCATGAAAATAGGGAACCACTGCCAAGGATGTTTGCCTTCAGCACCTGCTGAGTGAATCTCTTTGAGATGTGTTTAATGTTGCACACTCAAAAAATCGCCTGACTTCTACTGCCACTGGACTTCTGCCATGGATGTTTCTTCTTTTCACGTTGCCTCTGCTCTAAGACCGGAGTTTTGAGTGCGGTTTTTGATATACCCTTGGACCCCACTGCCTCTGGAAACAACGCCCATGGAATGAACCATATGAACCACTTAAAGGACTTGAAATTATGACTCTTTGCCTGGAAATCTGATGCTACTATGGCCACGTTCTCTCTCAACAATAATGGATCCATTTGACCCCAAGGAATCAACCAAGGAATCTTTCAAGCTAATGTGCTTGCTTCCTGTCAATTATGGCCTTCTAAAGCATCCGCTTTCAACCTTGCTTAAGCTAGTGCTTTATGGGACCCGGCCATTGTGTACCTACTTGACCTGGCCACAAAAATGAACGACTTTCTTTTACTTACCTGGACTCACCTGGATGATGATGCTTCAACCAAATAGTAATTCTGGTCATGATGAAACTGTTTCTCTCGCCCTGGCACCACTTAGCCTACTCCATTGGATTGACAACAGACCTGGACCCGAACATAGACACGGCAACTTTGACCAGGACCTCACGATAATTCCTGGTCGGCCAAGGACATTTCAACCCTACAAATGCGACTTTGGTGCGTATAAGTAATCGTGACGCGACCCCTGCTCTCATTACTGACTTTCACTAGGTTTTCAATCACTTCTGGACCATGGAGCTCCTGTTCTTTTTTTGGTTTCTTTTTGTTTTTTTTTGCTTTGCTTAATTCATTGTTCTATGACGAGTAGTAGAGACTAACTCTTGGTTTACAGTGTTTTTCTTATATCATACAACCACACACAATGTCTCCAAGGACCACCAGCGACTCTGACCGAGTCTCTATCTCACAGTCCATGCATACCTCCATGGTTTCAGGAATCTCAAATATGGCCTCAAGATCTATCCAGGATGATGAAATGTCGAGCCATGACAACTCCTCGTTGTGCTCAAGTATCCGTACAGCCCATGGAAATCCACAGGATATGAAAGACTGGACAATGAACCACCAAGAATCCCTTGACCAGGCTATCTCAAAACCAGACTCATCCGAGGTGCACATGCTTTCTTTCTCGCTGTCTCAGCAGCTGATGACCCCCACGGTCGGACCAAATGATGTTATGTACCCAGGCATGGACTTCCCAGCAGTCCCTGACATGAATGACCATGAAATGTCCCGGGATCTTTATAACTCTTTCCTGGATTTCTCTTCTGTTGAAAATGATGTCTGTGTCGGAAATGGCACACCAGATGATGCTCTTTCTATCGGACACAGCTCTCACAGTACCGAGGACGGCCACTATATCACAGGCCCAGAGTCATGGACCCCAATGATGCATGATGCCCATTACCCAGGAACCACCATGGAGCAATATTCGTCGGGTCTTTTCCAGACCGCCCCGGTCTCTCCACCACTGACCGACGCTAGCAATGATATGTCTGTTACTTCTTCTTGCTCACACGCGGGATACACCTCATTCATGGCCCCTGATGATTCACTCCTCGGAGACTTCACCACATCGCCCATTGGAACGACCCATGGACTTCACCCAGCGGAGCCCTTGTTCCCCAGCTCTTCTCTTAACGACAGGGACCTCAACAGGTGAGTGTCAGACAAGAACCGATACGCCAGAAGACAAACCATTTGATCATAAATCTAACCACTATATCGTAGGACTATCAGACCTTCAAAGCCATCCCGTCGTTCAGCATTGTCGGCGGTTTCTCAGCATCAAGGAAAAACTGATCCCGATTTCTTCCCAACCCTGCCAGTGAGAGAGCCAACCCGCCAGAGATCCAAGGAAGGTGTCGAGGCTCGCAACCCGCGAGAGCACCAGTATTATTCCATGTCCACCCACAGCGATGGAAAGTATTACTGCCCATTTGCCACCGGAGAGAAACCCTGCAACCACCCACCCACCACGCAAAAATGCGCTTACCAGCAAGTCCTCCCATGATGAAAATCTTTGGTGTAATCTGAACCCAGCTAACCGATATCAACTAACAGCAAGTACCTGGATTCCCATCTGAAGCCATACCGTTGCAAGGTCCCCGCCTGCATTGATGCCCAGCTGCGCTTCTCTTCCAACGCCTGTCTGTTCCGCCACGAGCGTGAAGCCCACGGGCTACACGGCCATGGAGATAACCCCCACCTCTGCCTGTGGGAGGGCTGCGAACGCGCAGTTCCAGGAAATGGATTCCCAAGGAGATGGAACCTTTACGACCACATGCGTCGCGTGCATGACTATGCCACTTCCGAACGCCACAGCTCGCCCGAGACCTCGCCCGGCGCTGGTCAGATCAAGAAGAAGGAACCCACTGGCCGCAAGAGAAGAGTCACCGGTGCCACTCCAGCTCCCACCATGAAGCGCACTCGCTCCGTCCACTCCCAGGCCAGCTCCATTAAGGCCACCCAGACTTCCGCTAGCCTTGGACAGCGCCTCCAGAATGCCGAGCAGAACTTCTTCAAGTGCCGCTCGCGTCTGCTGGAGGAGCTTGGCAACATTTCCCCTCAGGATACCACCATGCACGAGAAGGTCAACGCCAGTTTCCAGGAACTGTTCACCTTGGGTTTGAACTACCGCCATATTGAGGCCAGCCGGGCTGTTTCCCACATGCCTAACGGATTGCCTTGAATGATCAAGAAGCTGTAGGCCTCCGTCCTGGAGGAGAACAGCGGTTTTCATTTAAACGACACGGACAAACTTCACGGAGAACTTTTTTCTTGATTTCCTTTTTACTCCACGGCTAGACCGTGCTGCTTGCTGGCCAGGCACTTTCGATACATGGAGGAACCCAGTGCGATCGCTCGCGAGTACACAAGTGGACTTCGGCCAAAGGATTGTCTCAGCCTGATCCCATCATCGGTCAAAGACAATCCGATTCCAAAATGGATATTACGGCCAGGAACTGGATAGGAACAGCGTGGTACCCCACCCCACGCTTGAGAGTTTGTTGATCTGCCCCCGATCACAGGCTGCTCACCACATGGGGATCTGGATTTAGTACCAAGGGCTTCTGAGCTTCTTGGGCTGCACTCCAGATCCATGGATAAAACCATCCCAATGACACAAAAGACCCGAAACTTATGCGGAGGAAACAGCAAAGCGGGATACGGTGTCTCAAAAGGGGAAGAAGAATGACAGTGAAGAGAGATATAGCCATGTATTGTCCAACAATTGGTTGGATTTTTGATTTGTTGATATTGATAGAGATAGTGTTGCGTTCTTGTTTGTTTCAAATGACTTTTTTACTTTTGCAATTCTTAAAAACACGTACATCTGTAGATCTAAATCGTCCTATGTATGCAAAGTCATAACCTCGTTATCTCATAACTACCAACCGACTTTTCCTGGTAATGAAAAAGACATCTAGTCTATCTGATCCTACTCAAATGCAAAGTATCTATTCTTCAGAAGTCTCCGCAACCACACCTGAGAACTCAGCATTGAGAAACCGCACAAACGCATTTCCAATCTGATCAGCCGACAACGAACCACCTCCAGGACCATGACCCCGACCAATATACGATCTGTTCAAGCTAATCCACTGTCTGCGTAGCCTCTGCAGCCGCGGTAGAGCCAAAATTCCACCAGCAGCGGCGAGTTCATCCGTCGTTCCAGTCATGGCGACATGGGACGGGACAAGGATAGGAATAGTTGTATCGGGAATTTCAATGGCGATTGCATCGGCGCGATTGCTCTGCGCAAGTGCTACTTCTGCGGATGGGCAGGTCTGCGTGAAATTGCGGATTGCAGTCACAACTGCTGATGTGCGCTTTTCCATTGCGTACATTGCGTTCGAGTCTGTTGCCGCTGCTTGCACGGTGGCTTGATGCGGGATGAGTCGGGCGCGTGTTGAGAGCCCGCCGCGGCCGCCACCTCGAGTGCCGGTTGCTGTGCTGGCAGCGTCTGAGATGGTGGTGGATGCGAGGGAATCCATTAGGCTTGGGAGGGCTGTTTCCGTGGGAGCATCGGTTGATGGGAGGACTACGCCTGTCAAGGCTGCGAAGATGTCTGCTACCGGGGGTTCTGCGTCGGCCCAGGGGACTGTGAATAGGGGCTTATCCCAGCGGCTGTGGGTGCTTGGTTCTTCGTAGCGGAAGATGAGGTTGTTGAGCAGGTCAGATGGGTATGCCTCCTCAGTGTCCTCGGTAGACTCCGCGGAGTCGGGTGCGGGGGTATCTTGGGTTTCGGAGGTCTGCGCATCCGATGTCTTCGAGTCTGCTTCCTTCCTGGCGTCTCGGCGCAGTCGAGCGTCATTGTTGGCGACGCACTGGTCGACGGGTGTACCGACGTGAACCTATAGCAGACCTGTCAGCTATTGGGTGTCGCAATTCATTTTGGATGTTCCAATCTCATACCACACAGCATGTCGTTTGCGCGGCTTTCGCCTCGCACCACAGCTGGTATCTCCATCCTTTGATATAGTTCATTCCGTCGAGGATGACGATGCTGTCCCGCTTGAGCACACGCTTGGCCCTTGCGTAGGCGACGCCGCGCGCCTCCTTCTCGGTGCGGGCATGGTCGTAGACGATCCGTGGGTGGGAGGAGTCGTGTGAAGCGACCACATGGACCTTGTATCGAGACTTCAACGAGACCTGCGCGCCTGCTTCGGCTGCTGCGAATACTTCATCTTGGTGTTTCTCGAACAGAGATGCGAGTTGATTGGCGCGGTGGGTAAGACCGGAGCACGGGTATCCCGTTAAAACGACGAGCTGAATATGTATTTGTCAGATTGGATTAAATAATATAAGAAGTTTCTCGACGTACCGGCATCGTTGCGTTGTAGCGATGATTGTTCAGGCGGACCTTTTTTTTTTCTTTGCGGGGGGATGGTGGCATGTGACCCGCATCTACATCCACGAACCATCTATATGCTCTGCCATGGAAAATTGTATTATTTTCTTAATTGAAATCGCTGTACTTAATAATATTCACCAATGCGGATACAGAACGAGAGAGAAAAAGCAAGAGTGAAAGGCTGTTGAATAGTGAGATTGAGGCCTGAAGTATGAGGCAGAGATATTTAATTCAAGTGTGGTTAGTTAAGGGTGTTTTATACAGAGATGGTTAATGTATTTCCATTTTCTAGAACAGATCTCGAGCTCAATGTATGTAAATTTTATCGAACTTTTGTCATGTAATCATGTCATCGTTCCAAGTAGGCCGGGGGTATCAAATCAACGGCTCAAACAGCTTTGGATGAATCCTCCAATTGATCCTGCGCCCATCGGATCTCATATCCGAACACGGTTCTTCGGAGTCTTTCATCCTGTAAAGAGTCAGTATCATGGCAGTGCAAAGGAGAATTCTTAGAATATAGACTTACACCAGGATCTTTCTCAAACAGTACCGCATCCATCACCTTCTCAAAGATCTTGGTGACAGTGAAGCCGCTCGCCTCGGCCAAAGGGAAGAATTGCTCGGTCTTGGGCAATAGCCAGGGCTGGTAGGGGGTGAAAATAACCAGAGCAACAGAGTTCGGGTCCTTCTTCATGGTTTGCTGCATGGTTTTGATCAAATTCGGGTGCTCACGGTGGCTGTATACCACATCCGCCATGATCAGGACGTCAAACAAGGATGGAGAGCCATCGGCAGCAGGAGGCAGATAGGCCCGCAGTGGGCTCACATCGCTGCCCCATTTGTAGCCATCAACGTGAAGGCGGGGCTTTCCGTCTTCCCTCGCGGGAATTGCACTGGCCGCCAACTCTGCGTTGTACTTCATGTTTTGAACTAGATCTGGATCCGGATAGTCGGTCAATACCACTGTCCGGGCACCCTGAATGGCGCTCACGATGCTGGGAACGCCTGCGGCGGCACCGATCTCGAGGACATCCTTGTTTCGGATGAGAGCCTCAGTATGCTCCTCAATGTAATGAGAGCTGGTTCGGCCAGCGTTCCATAGCAGATTTCCCTGTCAAGGTCTGTAAGTAGGCACCTCGGCTAGCAATGTCAATTGATATCATACATAGAGGGGGTGGCTGCCCACAAGACGGACGCGCACTTTCTGGCCCGATAGCATAGTGTGCTCGGCAAAAGTGGGGGGCTCATCTTCAGGGTAGTACCCTTCCGGGTCCTGAAATAGATTCCCCGAATCAAAATCGTCGGCCATGGTAGTATGTATGACTTTAATGCTTCCAAGCTATGGAGGGGAAAAAATATCGGTATCGGTTATCAATTTCTTATCGGATATTCTTTGTCGCCTCAGGCATCAATACATATACGTGCATGCAGGTGTGGGCTAATAGCGGATTTCTCGGCTTCCCGAGGTCGGGTATTGAAGATTCACATATTTCCACAATCAGACAATGTGTTTTAAACTGACTGCTCGTCATTTTAGAACACTCTACAACTCCAAAAAAAAAACTCCAATCTATTGACAGTTACATTATATGGCTAAAGTGTAACTGTGAGATCACATGGATGATACTACCACGTGATGTAATACATGATGTATGTAAAATGATGCGGAGAAGAGCGTGGAGATACCGTCACAATACCATAAAATACCATAAAATACCATGTAATATCCGACGAAACCCCGGGCAAATCTCGGGCTCAAGGGAAAACCTGCGGTTTGCCTTCAAATGTCGTATGCACCCCTGAGAGATATGTAAATCTCTGACCTCTAAAGCTTAGACTATCTTTCTCTTTTCATCACTTCTTTTCTCTTTGATTTGGTCGTCCAGCGTCTGCTTAGTGGAAATCACCCCCGCCCGCTAGATTTGTCTTAGTCTGCAATTTGCATCAAACGGCTTCGATTGCATTGCCACTCTGCTTTCTTTTCCACTCTTGATCTCCCATCGCATCTTTGTTCTTTGTCCATAGCAACAAAATCTCTCCCCCATTCTACCCATCTACCCAAGTCCACATCCACTGCGACCCATTCTCCTTGCATCTTAAAGATCGGACCGCTATAGTCACGTCATGGACTCGACACTGCGGACAGCATACAACCCTCAAGCACCTCTCGTCCAGCCTACCACCTCCTTCCATCCCTCTTCCTCGACCCCCAACCCTTCAACCGGGCAGTCGAACATGGCAGCCCAGGCTCAAAGTACCCTAGAAGTCGCATCGAATGCGACCAGCCAGGTGTTCTCACCCTCGCTTCAATCTGCCTGTTCCCCGCAGACCTCCGCCCCTCCCATGCAACCCTTGTCACAGGCATTTGGCAACACATCCAACCCGAGTACCATTCCCATCGCCCCCGCAGTCAACACCCAAGCATTATTACCTATGAATGCAGCCCCCGCTCCGGCGCCCACTTCCGATGCCTATCCCCACCAGATAAATGGTCTCGGGGGTCCAACTGCCACAGCGCCCTTTCTGCAGGATTTCAATCTCGTCGCCGAGGCAGCCAAGCGTGCTCAAATGGGTATTGTCATGCGGGATCTCGAGAGCGTGACTCTATGATTTGGAGATTTCACCGCTAGATAGGGCAGGACCCAGGTCGGGGATGGAGACGCCGTGCCGGCTGCACGTGCGTCTCCGAGGTGCATGGACTGGCTCCATTTTCTAGACACGCCGGGGTTGGGATTACTATGGCGTATTATACGTGGGCTTTGGATTTTGAATTTTCTTTTGGATTCTGCAGACGCACCTTCTTGCTAGCAGAAGGTTGCTGCGTTTGACCTTGCATTTCGTCTCATTTGGATGCTTTGCAGGTTGATTCTGGTATTTTCAGACGGTGTTTCCCTGGTGCTTAAATTTTCCTTATGGCTTACAGCCCCTATACCATCCACTCACGAGACATGCAATATCATCCGTTAAAAAAATACCTGTGCAATAACATGGATATCAGGGATTAGGAGATAGAGGCGTAGTATTCCGAATTATGATACTTGCCTAGAAATATAGAGGCTCTGTGTACAGAAGTGACTCCACTTCTAATCTATATCTCTTTCACGTCGAAATAGTCTGCACACATGTGCTTTTCGGGGTTTATGCGGTAATTTTTCTCCAGTTCTGTGGAAATGAAATTAGTACTAGTTTTGTCATTATGGAATTTGCTTTGGGTTGGTTATTCTCGCTCTGCTAAAAGATGGAATAGGTCAGAATGATGCCTTTAGAATGCCTCTAGAAAAGATGTTAAAGATACCAATTACAGGCTAGTTAGCCCAGTCTTAGCCTTGAAGATGAATACTCCCTCTACTTAACAACAATGACCCGTTTGAAGATCTATAAATTGGATATTGTTTTCTCTATGCTCATGCGAAATATATTCTACCCTATTAGAGTCTATAGAACCGAAGGCAATAATAACCGACGATCTACTCTCCTCTTCCAACCCCTCAGCTGACCAGTGACGCAAGGACCTCGGTTTTTCTTCCCTGAATCTGAGCAAATCCAATCTACTAGATCCGGTATGGAAATTAGGTGATCAGGCCCTACGGGATACCCTTTTGGGATAATGTCCTTATTCCAAAGTTATTGCAGATCCTTTTCCCCGCGTTTTGCCCCGGACATCGGAGCGGAGCCGACCTCGGGAGATGATTCCCCGTAATCTTTTGAATAGGCAAGTCCCTTACATGTATATCCAAGATAAAACTGTGTATTTAGGCTATTTCTACACTGGTCTATAAGGGGTAATGTCCCACTGATACGTGGATAGTGGAGATTTCATATGTTTGATTTACTATAGTTCCGATATGACTACAGTCTCGCAAAAGAAAAAGCCCTACTTCGGGCTAACAGGTGGATGGCTGACCTTCTAGATTACGGTATGAGTAGAAGTATAGTGTCTTCCAATGTTTTTACTCTAATATTTTTGCAATAGGCTGGGGTTTTCATGCTTGTGGAATTCCTCAGCCTAGGCTAAATCTCAATTTTTGATTTTTGATTAAGATAATGAAAGAGATGTACATAATAGCTGGAGTATACGGGTAAGAGATATAGTGGGGTAGATAGCGATGCCTCGCCGTCATACAATCTTATATACTACCTAGGTATCAATATAGATTATAAATCTGTAAGATAGTCCAAAGTACTTTTATAGATCGATATTGATTTCTAGAAGCACTTTATAGCTCTTGAAATGACCACTTTCTCATCATTGACTCGACATATATTCCATATCTTTATTCTAATTCAGATACAGGAGTGTCGCCGATAGTCTTATTCTATACTTTGCGGTGATCTATTTCGAACCGATTCCCTAACTACAATATAGAAGAAGGAGAAAATACTCCTAAACATACTAGCTGAACTAACCAAAAAATTTTACTACTTAGAGGATGTTGTTTGCGATCTGAGTTCAGACTTCATTTTTTGCTTAGTATATTAGCAAATAGACATTGTTTACCTCTTTGCCTTTGCTCGTCACGGATCTAAACTAAGCGATCTTACCATAACTCGCTTTATACCCTGAATTCTATCATATTTCGACACCTTATAAGTCTAGATATAAGTCTAGATGGTCACAAATTTAGGATTTGGGTTTATTGGATTGTTTCCAGAGCAGCAAAGCATCATAAAGAAAGAAAATAGGCTATCTAAAACTTCCAATTAGAAGTATCAGGGTTGTTACTCCATTCAGACCAGTTGACCTTTTTGGGTGGCTTAGCTAGGTCGAACCAGTAGGACTTTGCCTCACTCCAGGGTGTTGGCTTAACCTCAATCCACTGACGGAAGCCGACCATAAAACTATAGGTTATAAATTAGTAAATCCCTTTGGAGCAAGCACAGTGCAACTGCTAAGGAGGGTCGTACAGATTACCGGAGGCGGAATCCCAAACTAAATGCGAGGGACCAGAGAACAAAGGGCGAAAGCCAATAGTTTCGGTCTCACTAAAAGGGGCCGATGTTAGTACACATCTATTATAAGCAACGTAGAATAGAGGCGTTAACTCACCGGATTGTCTTGTTCTTAAAGGCTTCCCGAATATTGTGGCGTTGATCATCACTCATATCCCAGAAGACCTTTGCGCCAAGGCTATCCCCTAGCTGAACACCAGGCACTTGCTCCCACGCAAACGAGACCAGGAAGCCAGCGGGTACAAGAGCAGAGCTCTCTTGCTCCTGTTCCCTATATCCTAGGAGGCGGGGGGTGACTTTCGACTGCTTATCGGTAAGAGTCTTGTATGCTACTAGCTCGGGCGGAGTCCACGCCCTAGCTTGCTTAGCGCGGGTAGCATGATCGTCAAACTCTGTGCCGAGGTGGGGCAGTTGCTTATATATCCTAACGAACGCGATTTTGCTAGCATCTCCGTGTTTCTTGCACTGGTACTTAACGGAGGCATAGGAGACAGCGGAGTGGTCGGGATCCTTTCGGTGCTCGTGTTCGTTAACGCGCTTGAGGACAATCCAGGTGGAGGGCGTAGGGGCATCGAAGACAATACTACGGAGCTCGGGGCCCCGGAACCAGGAATGCTGCGAAGTCATTTCGATTGATAAGATTGAAGGAGCAGGGTACGGAAACAAAATGACGACATGGCGAAGAGGGAGAAAGTTGATAGCTAAGTGATGCAAGAGAATGGTGAACTTTATTTTTGGCATGTGATATTCCTATAGGTCTATTTATTTCTTTTGTTCCTTCATCCTCTATTGCTATTGGTCTTCTTCTTTGTTTATTTCCTTCTTTACTCCTATTGACCATATCGCCGCAAATAGTCCATCGTCTACTATACTTATTGGCCGAATGGCTGCACCGAAAGTACTAAGAGCTTGTCTGACATTATACAGAGACACTACAGCACTATTGAGAGCAGTATCCACTCCAGTCGATCGGAATAGCAGCTGTGCGAGGCACAACTATCTTATAGAAGGTATACATCACGCCTATGCTTTCTTAATAATGCCACCCATAAAAATAATTATAAATATCAAATATGTACATACCGCAATTTAAGGTTACAGATATACTAGTCATCAATTTGGCCATTGTCATATAACCAGGTCAGATCTTGCTAGTCTCGGGACCAGACATATTTAGTATAGCTACCTTGGCTTTATGTTACTTTGCAAATCCTTGTTTCGATAGTCGGGCACAGACGATGTGCGGACAGTATGATTCATATCGAGAAATACATATAGAACAAACACAAAACTCAGAACTAGGTATCAACAGTCCAAACACCTCGCAACCCAGTGTCAGGGCGAGGGTTTACGAGTGAGCACAGGGCCAAGTGCATCATCCCCTGACGGAGAGTAACATCCCCTTGCCCGGTATACACATCATCATGGTAGATCAAAGGAGAGAATTCCAAGCCCCTAATTCTACCAAAAAGGACCTGACGTAAAAACAGAGTCTCATTGTAATTGCTTATAAACCCGAACTTGAGATCCAAGTCTTCCATGTACTGGGCAATTTGTCCTGTGTTTACATTTTACGTTAGCGCACAGAACTTTCTATCTAAGCCAGCGTTCATGACTGTATATAGGTGAGAGATCTTACCTAAGACTTGGCGAAGCAATTTGTCCTCACCAAGGTCGAATTGCGAAACAATTCTCTCCAACTGGTGGTCGTACACCCAAAACGTCTTCATCTCACCAACGACATGAGAACTGCCATTAGGTCGCATAATCATGACATCGGGTGTTTTTCGGTATTTCAGCGCGTTTGTCGTGCATTTAAAGTCGCCGAACACCAAATCAATATGATTGACATCGAATACAGCGCCCAAAGCTTGTCCTACACGTTCGTCAAAACGCCCCTGTAATCCTGTCTCATCACCGCATCGAATATGCTCGTTTGCTAGTGGTCCAAGGGTAGGAAAATTGACGAGACTTGACGAGAGAGGGACTGGGCTCCAATTCGTATTTTGAAATGTCGCAGTGACCTCATTATTAAAGGTCGCCCAACGACGTAGGGGTCCGACGTATCGAATATCGTGAATAGCATTCGATCGCGTAAAGTTCGGTCCAATATTGATATCAGGCAGTGCATGTTGCAGTAGATCAGTGCTGGTAATGGGAATAGACATTTTGGCTATGCTTAGTGAAATCAAGTTCGTGTGGGAGCTCGGTGTTGATGTTTACAAAAACACAAAAAAAAAGGGTTGAAGCCTGACCACCTAGCACCATCTACACGCTCCTTCCCCGTAGACTTCACAGTGATACAAGCCAGATCTCGGGACAAGATATTTCACAGGGCCTACTGTTGCAGTAGACCAATCCATCATCTTCCTCCATCACATAGCTTGTACCAGTTTTCTTTTCTTTGATTGGAATCAATTGACATGTTTTGTCCTAGGTGGTATGCGCAACCGATATGACTTTGTTTGGTTACGACCAAGGAGTGTTCAGTGAGTGATCTGGAGACTACGTATGAAATCTTGAATTAACCTATTTAAATCCAGGCGGCGTCGTAATTACGCAAGATTTTCTCGAAATCCACGATCTGGTCGGACCTACGAAGACAACGGCCCTATCCACGGTGACTGCGATATATGATATTAGTTGTTTCTTTGGGGCTCTAGTCGCCTTCACTATTGGTGAGCGTCTGGGCCGCAAGAAAGCTATCTTGCTGGGAACTACTATCATGGCAGTTGGCGCTATCCTTCAGACCAGTTCGTTTACTTTGGCGTAGATGTTCGTTGGTCGTATCGTGTTAGGGTAAGTGACCTTGTCTTCAGAACGCTTTATCATCTTCTAACATCCCTGATAGTGTTGGAAACGGTAAACAAGATTATTTGGACTCAATTTAAATACACTATTCTAATAAGCAATGGGTATCAACACTGCTACAGCCCCAATCTGGCAGACCGAAACATCCCAAACTAAATGGCGCGGAAAACTAGTAATCCTAGATATGATGATGAACATCGCCGGCTTCTGCCTCGTCAATTGGATCAACTATGGACTAGCATTTGCAGGCGGCTCTGTATCCTGGCGATTCCCACTTGAGAGAACGGCTGTTGGCAAGGGTGTTTTGCCTATTGAGACCGCAGAGCATGTGGAATGGACAGACGCAGAGAGGAAGAGGTGAGTATTAAACTGTCGTTGATGATAGACTTTGCAAAGCCATGAGTATATCGTGGAGGGATTTTGTTTGTTTTATTTAACGTCCAGCGGAGCATATGACTCGGGATATGCAAGTATACAGTAACAGCTGATTGGCTGTTTCAGATCTAACTAATGATATAGCATCAATAACAAAGTGAATGCAAGTCCTAGCAAAGAATCTACCCTAGAATCGGTACTGGAACTAATTACTCCTTGAGTTCTGATCATAGTCTATTCTGCAAGATCCCTATTCTAGGTGCAATCCCTTTTTTTTTTAGCGATCCCCAAATGACAATGCAGGGCCATTCCCAACACAGCCAATTTACCGTCCCAGTTCATTCTTCCTACCTTGGCATCTTCGTTGCGGTCACGGGTACATACTTGAAATTTCGCATTTATTTCTTTTATATTTGTTTCATATTCCTCAGTCACATTTGGAATACGTAATATCGGACGTTTTCGGTCTTTATTTTTAGGCGTTGGATAACGGGCTGACGTTAGCCTACCGGCAATTGCTTAGTTTAGAGTAAAATGCCAACTGCATGGTGGCGCAATTAGCGTGTTATTTATTGAACTCGAGATATAGTCCGTAGTCTCTTCAAGGGGTTCAGTATATGATATATTATTCTGATATATCAAGGGAGAAAAAAAAATGCCAATATTCCAAATAAACCAGAAATCCAAAAATTTATAATCCCAAACACCGAGCTATGCGCAAGTCAAGGAGAGAGAAGTGGAAACAATGAAACCTCAAAACAAGAACTAGCGATTAATAAAATGAAAATGATCGCTGTCCACCCCAAAAAATTGATGGATATAGCAGGCGCAAGAAAAAGGAAATGCAAAAAATGAGAGTGTTAAACCAGAACACCCCTTGCGCATGTATGTATGAATAGCCGTGTATTGCGACAATTTGAGCATCGATGCCGTGCTCATAGATGGGTGATAATGATTTCTTTTCTTTTCTTTAATTTTTTTTGGTGATCGTCATATGGTGTTTCCGGCCATTAAATGAACGAAGCTTGGCTCCTGTTCGCGTATTGAGTTGATGAACCGATCAGATTCGGCGAAGATATGCTGGCCTCCTTGGAGCTAGTAGGCTTGCCTCGCGAAGAGAAAACCGATAACCGGCGGGAGATCCGCTGGCTCATTCCTCGTGTCGGAGAAGACCAATTATCGAAAGAGATGATGGACATTGGCCGCGATCGCGGGGGTCCGTGAGATGTCCTCGGAGCCTCTGGGCGAGATGGGGGAGCAGTGTAACCAGGTCCGTCGTAGAACATGGTTGAGCGGCGCTTGAGCTTTTCGGTGGTTTGGCGAGCGTCCATTGAGAAGTCTTCGCGGATATCGCCTAGGACATGTGAGACTCGGCGGAGTAGTTTGGGAGGTTTGGCGTAGATGGAGGGTTCTCGCTGCTCTAGGCCGTATACTTCTAGAGGGGTTGAGTCGGTTTCTTGATCCACGGGGGACGAGTAAAACCGAGGGTACTTGACAGCCATCGGGACTCGGCGGGTGTTCAGTGAAAGTGTGGATGTGGGGGGATGTTGGTATGGAGAAGAATGAGACTCGGATGAGACGCTGGAGGAGTAGGAACTGTTTGTTGCAGATGAAATCAACATGGCTTTCAAAGGCTATGATCTTTTACAAAAGGAAAAGAGAAGAAAAGAGAAGAAAAGAGAGAAAAAGTCCAAAAAAGGGTATTCTGATGAAATTCCGAAAAAGACCAAAAGTGGATCAGAGACATCAACATTTTAGTCCCGTAACACTTAGATGACTTGGTAATTTTGCTTTGCTTTATTTATATTTTTTCTCCTATTAGTGTTATAGTGTTATGGCGCTCTACAGGTCTTAGCTATTTGAGTCTTGACTATTACTATTTACGCAGTATGATCTGCTGTATAAACAGTCATGTACGGAGTACGGGAAGTACAGATAACTAGAAGGTTATCCATGTGGAAAAACACCCGTGGGGTGATCAGATCATGTCTCAAAGATCTGACAACACGTTGTCTTCGATCCAATGACGCGGCAGAACAAAGCCACGATTTTCGTATACATACAAAATAATAACCCGTGGACTGTGGACGTAATGCTACATTCTTCAAGTAGAACCATTCCAAAGCTCCTCCACGTCCCCCTCATACGCAACGTACAACATAAAACACTGGATTGCGACATTTACCAAGGGGCAGAGACAGTGCATCCACGGTTCCCACCGGGAACTGTGGATTCCTCATTTCTGATTGGTCCGATTCCCGCTCAGGGGGAAAATGGCGCCATGGGTCTATACTTTTTTATAGAAACCGTGGAATGAAACAGAATCATAGACAAAGGAGACATTCAAGAAATTCAAGAAATTCGAGACATTAGAGACAATTACTATTTAAACACATGAAGGCAAAGGTAGGAAGAATACAGAGTACCACCTAACTAATTATATACTCCGTACATAGTTAATATGTTCTCCGAGAAAAACTACTTCCCCATTGAGTTTTGCCGAGAGATCCACAGGAGCACAGGAGAGAACCACAGCCACACACGAGCCCACAAGTTTGAGAGATGGCGCATCGTATTCCATCCATAGATGCTATTATTGAACTATATTATACAGCATATGTGGTTCTATTATTTTCGATGGTATTATGTTGTACATTGTTACATATATAATGTAGTTAGCCATATTACTCCGTACTCCGTACAATAACTACAATACTACGCAATGTTGTAACCTACGGGTTCTTCCCCGCACCGGTAATTCGGGACTCGGAATATCATCTCAGCTGATTCATTTGCTACATTTCGATCGTGCCTGTCATAAGTACCCCAGGTGCCCAGGGTGAAAACTCTCCGATTACATCACAAAGCGGAGGTTGGTATCTGTCGATCTCGAGTCAGCTGGGGCGCTGGGGTTACACCGCTGAAAAAAATAAAAAGTTAACTTACCAAGGGGATGACTGCAGCTCAATTGCGGCTTCTGTGAGTATTTGCCTTCGAGCTCATTTCGGATCGTGTTCAGCAGCTGCAGGTAACTCTGCTGTGGCCACTGTTGCAGTGATTTAATAAACGCCCAACTCAATGCACCACGCGCCTGTCCGTCCTGGAATGTATCCGCCCTGTTTCCGGGTTAGTTTGGATTCTTATTTATTTTAAAAATTTAAAAGTTACGCCACTTACGAGGTCTGTGTGTCCTTGGACCCTGAAAACATCACCACGTCGGCTGGAGAGGTCTTGGTCATGATTGTGCGCTCACGGGCCGAGTCGCCGTTGACTGCCTTTTTGAAGAACCCGATGGCGGTGGAGGCGACACTGGAGAAATCACCTTGTCCATACGAAGTGAATGCACTGAACAAATCCTGAGCGGCCTCCTTGGCCAGGTTGGGCTCCTTGAGAACACCTTGCGTCGAGTAGACGTACGGTAGATCCAATGCAGTGCCCGAGTGGCACGAATCGAAGATCGCTGTCAATCGTACTCCGGGCCGCAGTGGACGCACCATGATGGCATGCATATCATCGTCGACAATGTGACCGGTTTGGCGGTAGTCCAGTGGGTAGATGACATCGTCGAATCCATCGTCCTCATCTCCATCCAAATCGGGAGTACGACCTCCGTGGCCGGAGAAGTGAATGAATAAGGAATCGTTAGGTTGAGCATCTTTAACGAGCCACTGCATGGCACGTAGAATGTTGGCCTTGGTAGGGAGGCTCAAAGGGTTCCGTTGATCGTCGGTGAGAATGACCATGTCCTCTCGCTTGTACCCAAATCGCTGAGTCAGGAAGTTGGACATGTTAGTAACATCGTTGATACAGCCTTTTAGTGCATTGGGTTGTCCTGCGTAGTTGATTCCGATCAGCAAAGCCCGGCGGCGACCGGTACAAGCTGAGTACTGGAATCTATAGTTTGATGGAGCACCTCCACCGAATTGCTGAGAATTCTGGGGTGGGGTTGGAGGCAGATTCGGGGAATGTGCACGAGGAAGTCCTGCTTGATGGTTAGTGANGATTTTTTTTTTTTTTTTTTTTTTTTGGCATATTAAGAACTTTACCATTTTGAGGGGCACTCAGAGTATGATGGTGGGAGGGATGGCGAGGAGGTGGAGTATGACCATATGGCGGGGTAGAAGGGGGAGGATATTGGGAATATTGAGGATAAGGCGCTGGTGGGTAGGGGGAATGGCTAGGACCTGGATAAGATGATTGTGGTTGATGATAACCATAGGGCTGAGGAGGATAGGGCTGAGGCGGGGGTTGCCATTGGGGAGGTTGTTGATATCCTCCCCATGGGGGTGACCCTTGTCCTGGAGGGGGACCTTGAGGTGGATAGTACATCTTTTTCAAAGATGTGACTTATGATCTCCTGATGTAAAGGGAGAAAGGAAGGTGAAGTAGAAGAACCGTTTAAAAGTAATTCGGCTGACTCGGGGTGGGTCAGGCAAATGGGACTTAACACTTTCCTTTTGGGACAAGTGTTAGTGCCCGGGCAATTTTCATAGTAGTCCATACGGAGTACTCCGTATACAAGGAAGTACACTGAAGGATCCACCATTAGGGCTGCAGGTCAATCACTTTAATTCAGGTTTTTTCCTCATTGAACTCCAATGATCCACGGGTAGATAGTATGTGTTGTAATCTAATATGTAATGAAATGTACTGAAACAAAGAAACTGAGGCTGTAAATTAGGCAGCGACTTTCCCTTCATCATGTGACTAGACGCGTCACCTATCTCAAAAGTTTACAATTTCCAACTGAATCTGCGGAGAGAAGATAACGAAAATAACGAAAATAACGAAAATAAACAGCCGCCTTCCCGCCCTTTGAAACGGCCAGCCGCACCGCCTACGGTCCAGTACCTGCACCCTAGCTTTATTAGTCATCATGTTCTATGGACTCTCTGTATGGATGAGAGATGAGAAGGATGAAAAAGTGGCTTTGTGCAGGACCCTTGCACAAACGTCGTCTGCATTGCCTGCGAGATGGCCTTAATTAAGTGCTGCTTTATAGGCAAAGTTGTTGTCAGGTAGTCAGGTAGTCAGGTTGTCAGATTGTCAGATTGTCAATGGTGTCTAGTAGCTTATAGTAGGTCGGGTTTACTAATTCGTTCTTGAAGATCTGAAAGCTCTAGTTGACTTTATAATATCTCACCTGGTAATCGACACAAGTTATGCTTGATATGTCTCGCATTTTGCCTTTTCATCCCTTTTGGAGTATCCTTATGCAAGCTCTAGAGCTTAGTGGGGTTAGGGTCTTACTATCATCCGGGACATATCTCATTCCGCCACCAGTAGATGATCGACTTACATTCGAGGATGCGAACCGCCAAACGGATTCCTTACTACCCGGAGTTATATCTTCTTCGGAGATGCGGCTATTTGCAATTTTCTTCTAGGCGTTTGCGGTTTACCAGGAACTAATGGTTTCGAAAGCGCTCCACGAAGTCCTCATCCAAGTCTGGCCAGCTCACAAATCTGGTGCGCGATCAGTCATGAAAAGGGCGGCCATAATGTAGCGAGAAAATGACTTTCTCGAGTTCTGGAGTCACATATCATGCAATGTATCTTTAGCCTTTATCTGGCATTAAGAACTATTCTCTTACCAATCTCATTCAGTAAATGTGCCTTTCCAGCTGTCACACACCAATCAGCACGAAATTTTTCCCGACAGAATTACAAAAATTGTCATTGAGGACGTCATGCGGAGTGATACTAAAGTATTCATGCAATGCTTTGAAGCTAAGATGTAGTCGATAGGCTGAGCGGAAATGATGTTGAGCCGCCACGAAATGAAACGGGGCGTTTGTGACGCCTTGTTAAGCACAATTACACTTAAAGATTCCGTGAGGGGAAGCCAGAACTTAGACATAGGAGACTGCCTGCGAGCAGTGCTTTGCTGTGTGCAATGGGAGAGTCAAGAGCGAATTTCGAGTATCAGGGTGGCTGAAAGGACCCTGGAAAGACCTCGGGAGTCATACAAGGGATGAGACGGGCCAGACCCACCAGATTACCTTTCGAGACTTCTCAACAAAGAAGGTGAGGCAATTTTCATTTCATTTTATGCCCGTTTCGACCCGACCAGCGAAAGTACCGAAGGCTCAATCAATTTTAAACAAGTTTCACAAATCTTGATTTTACTCGGAGAATGCTGTCTAGGAACTGCAGAGCCTTTTCACCTTTCAGTTCTTTTCATTGCACGATGCATTTTATGGATATATTCTCGAATTCTGGCATTCGAATCAATTCTTCTCTTAGGAATTACGCAGCTAATACAAACGAAACTTCCTCTCTGCGTGTGGTAGAATCACCTCATAGATGATTACAAGCGTTCTGTCTGTGCCTTGGTCATGGGACGAATGACCTTCGGGTTAATTGCAGATGTGACAGCTATAATCTCACCGAATTCTCCTCGGTACGACCTTCCTACTGCTTGTTGGGTCTTGAAAGAATCCGGGATTTTTTTTGTTGAGTACTCTGCAAACCATTCGTTGGCAGACTATTATCTGAACTTGATACCTGAATTATTGTCTTGAATTATTTTTTTAAAACACATTTTTGGTGGCGAGTGAGTCTATAGGCAATGGGACATCTAGAGGTTACAAAACCGCGTATTCGGACGCTAAACCGGAAGCGGTGAAACTAATCGGATACAGTAATTCACACGTCCCGCTGTTTACCCAAAAGGACACTAGACAATTATCAAAAAAGTAAAAAACCTTTGGAAGTGGCAAGAACTAGACTAGGAATAGACCTGGGCAACTTGCATAAAAGTGCGTAGGTGAGATTTGCCTCTGAGGCGGTGGCTTGGGTAAAAGACTTCAATGCGGCTCTATATAATAACAGAGACAGTCATCATGGTGCTCTGGGTCGGGTTACAGTAAGCACTTGTAAGTCCATATTACTAGTACAGCTAGTACTAGTAGTACTAGTTGTAATAGTTCTTTATTCACGCTATAGCTGCCACTCCGGGAGCCGCACATGCACTGAAGATCCGATAGGGGTAGGACTGGAAGGATCGTGGATACGCCTGTGGACTCCACCTAATCCGAGTCACGAGAGATCGGAGATCATGTACAGAGTACTCCGTACATGTCTTAGTCCTGATTGAGACGGATGGGCCGCTTTTGTCGGACATGTTGGTCCCGAGTTCGTAATCCGAGACAACAAATAATAAAGAGCCTCACAAGGATCTAAGCCCCTGCCAAATTACGTGACCGGTGATCCGGGGAGAGCTGCTCCTACGGTTTCCAGTTTCCAATCTTGCTAGTGCGCAGGTGGTACGCATCAATCCATTTTGGGTTAAGATGGAGGCTCTTTTGGCATTTTTAGTACGGCAAGGTTCCATGGTTTTCATTGTGGGACTATTCCAAGGAAGGTTCCTGTTTCCAAGGTTCCATTTGCTACAGTTGAGCCTCATTTACTCCCTCACCTCCTCTTTCCCTCCTATCTTCCTTCCTTGAATTTAAATCTAGTTCCTTCCCTATCAATTTCAAGGCATGGAATTCGTTTTGTTTTTTTTTCTGGCTGTTGCCCTGTTTTTTTTGTCTGAGACACTCCCTTGAGACTTGAAACAACAGACTATTTGACTATTTGGCTACTTGTTATAATCATGACGACTGTACAGAGTCTGGATACTCTCCCATTTGATGTGTTTTACCAGATCGCAACCTCGCTGGATGACCGTGATTTTGTGAACCTCAGTCGCACCAATCGTGCTCTCTATTCTCTGTCACAAAGCGAACAGATTGCCCGCAAAACTGTCGAGGTAGGCCAAGTCAATCCCTCGCTTGAATTACAAGGCTGATCCCAGTTTACAGAATTTTTTACCCTACAGCAAAGAAGGTCAGGCTGCCCTGGCGGCCCAGTCCGGTTTTCGAAAAGCCGTCGGGCATCGGCTTGCTATCCACGAGGCTGTCGCCACGGCAGATCCGTATTCGGTGGTCTGCCTAGGCTATGGGGCTGAATTTCTCTACAACCAAGGATATTTGTGTTATCGCTCTGATAATTGGATTCGTTTGCTGTACGTGCATGGTCCTGCATTCAGGGAACGTGTCATGGACCTCCGTGATGTGTTCCCTCAACTGCTGAAAACCGGGTTCGTAGAGCCAGGCGCAGAAGATCGTGTTACGCTCTTGAGCTACTGCGATGATATTCTCGTCTTCCGAGTGGCCGACGTAAATGCGACCGAGGATGCGTTACTCGTGGCCAATATGGCGTGGCGGAAAACCAACCAGGAACGAGATTGTTTCCTGCTCGTTGAGAAAATCCCAGCTTCTGCGCCACTCTTTGTACGGCACTGCGGATCTTACATATGGTATGGTACATTTACTGCTGCCGATGGTTCGGATGGTGTGTGGTCTATCACTGGTGTGGATCTCGAATCGAAAGAACCTATTAAGTTCTTGCTCGACCGAGCGGTCGATGGCGATCTTGGACAAACACTGTGTTTTGAGATGCATGATGAACATCTCTATGCAGTTTCGACGCAAGTTGTCGTAGATGACGATGAAGTACACTCCTCTTTCTACCATTGGTTCTGTCACGCCCCTCGCGAAGACGGCCGCAAATGGAACGGTCGCTTGTGGCGCCGAGAGCATCAAGAAGGCCCGATCAATGAAATGTGGACTGATCTTTCAATTCGTAAAGATGAGACAACTGGCCGGCCAGTCATACTTGAATGCCGTCGTGAGTGGCGCGATGGCAAAAGCGAAAATCACCGTACATACTACACACAGCGACTTCCTACACCGGAGGAAGCTCTAGCACCTCTTTCAGGAGGCACTATCGAAACTCCATCCTGGTTGTCTATAGATGATGACCTTGAGAACGACTCCCCCTACGATGAGCGACCTGCAAAGCGGTTGCGGCGGCATTACCATGCCGAGTACGAGTCTGGCTCTACCAAGCGGCAGGAGTTCATCGCAGCTCGCACCAAACACAGAAGCTACCATCTCGGTGCATCCACCTTTGTGGACATTGTTAACGACCCTGACGGTAATAATTTACGGTCTAGAGATAGAATCAGGTTGCGGACGGTGTCCCGCAAGCGCAAATGTCCTATTGACGAGGAGGGAATCGAGGGACCTCGCAACCGACTATTCCAACCCACTCAGGTAGACCACTACGGCTTACCTGTTGAAGGCTCTGAGGAACGCTTCGAGTGTCGTGGTGTGCGTATGTGGCCTCCAGAAGACGCCCCACCTGCATTACAAAAATTGCTTTGCCCAGGCCCGCGCACCGGATCTGTGAAAAGTATTGCAGACGAACGCTCCATCATCTATTCGATTGACGCCCCCGGACTTCCCCCCAATCAACAAGCTCTTATCCTCATTAGCTTTGATCCACATTTTCAAATTCCCATTACGACGCCTCTTCCCACTGCTACCTCTCCAGATTACCAGGCTTCTGGGGAACTGTTCCCAGAGACACTGAAGCCACCACCTCCATATTCTCCTTTAGGCAATATGGTGGAAGAAGCACCGCCCTTTTACATGGGTATCAAGCGCTGGTACTTTCTGCGTGGAATAAGAGATCGGATATTGGAAGAGTCTTCCATAATTCAACACAGACAGGATCAGATACAATTAGCCACCATAAGACGATAGATTATTACCAATGACAAAAACAAGTTAAAGTTCAAATCAGCTCAAAGTAAACTTAGTATACGAGGTCATGCATGCTTCCCTTTTACCAGCAAACAATACGAACAGTCGATTCGGGCGTACGGGCGTACGGGAGGCCTTGGGCAGCAAATCTCATTCATGATTTCACCATTGAACATTAGTGACAGTCAATTGGGTGCCCTAGACATCACTTGGCATATCTAACACGGCCTTATATGCATATGTGTTCCATTATATACCAATTTCCAAATGGAAGCCCTAACAGTCGTAAGGCTGACATCCACAGAGTGCCCAGGTAGACTATGAATTCCTTTATTCAAATTCAAATATAATATCAATCAGTTACCCAATATTGAAAGATATAAAACTATCGAGACAAGTCATTTGGACAAAGATCATCCAATTTGACATGAATCTCCTCTTTATCTAGTGCTTTTGTCAAGCTGACAGCCCATTGCAGTAAAACAATATGCAAGCCTACAAACTACACAAGGATCAGATCCATTCCTATCATCATATAATTTTATAATTTATATCTTATGCATTATCATCTGCACCGACTCAGCCCGGGCAGACAGCCATGTGTACAAAAAGTGCACTAGCACACCGATGCACTGCCTCAACAATGGAGTCAACAGGAAAAACAAGAACGTTAGGACCTGTCTTTATCTTTTAAAGATAGAAAGACAGCAACACACTCCGAAAACGCCATCCAAAAAAAAAAACAAAAACAAAAACAAAAAAGAAAGACCATTGCCACAACCCAAAGGGGGAATCAAGTATCGTCTAGGCATCAGCGAGCATCTCGCAATCATGTACACAGAACCCGGGACCCGGTGACCTTTATCGAGAAGAAAAGGAAACATAAATGCCAAAGAAAAAGAAAAAGAAAAATGAAAAATGAAATGTGAAATGTGAAATGTGATCGACATTTCACAGCTTCTTGTACATCCCAGCCACCGAATTGATGATTAAATCCCGTTTGACTGGGTTCGTGTCACGGAACATATCGCGCACTCCGATGTTCGTCTTCATCTTGGATGCAAGCTCGGAGGCTTCGGATATTATTGAACTGGAGTCACTGTCATTGCTGCTGCCGAGACTGCCTAGCGGCTTGCTCGTGTCGCCCCCTGATTTGAGAATATCTGTGAGGGTTTCATTGCCACTGAGCAGGTTGTGAACAGTGTTCTTGATCAGATCGGCGATTGGCACGTTGGCCGTCAGCGTCAGCTGCTTCATCGCGTCGGTGTAGTATGGCACCAGTGTGCCGTTCCAGGTGACGGTTCGGGTTACCGTGTCCAGGGCTAAGTTACCGGTTTTGAGGGCTTTTGCCTGCGATACGAGTACTTCTCCGAGGTGCTCGATTATTGTGGGTATGTCGAGGACTCCGGTTAGAGGGAAGACGTTGGCGCCTGGCTTGATAGTGACGTCTTTGACGGTGGCGTTTCCAATAACGAGGTCGCCGCTCTTCACGTCAAGGACGAGTGTGCCAATATCAAGAGTCAACACGGACGGATTGGGAAGGGAGACATTTCCAATTAGGTTGGTGCCGTCTTCGCGGGCTGGAATGAGTCCACTGTCGGAGAGGCTGAATTTCTTGAATTGGTCCAGTACTGGAATGAAGTCAGCTTCACTTCTAGGATATGATGTTTTGTTTCTGCGACTCACCCGGCGACATGATATCCTTGTCCATAGTAACCTTGGACTTGAGCACACCCAAGTATGAATTGGTTACACCTCTGACCGACAGCGCAGTCTCCTTCTGGAAGACGACATTTTTCACATACTCATTCCAGGTGGTCAGGTTGGTCAATGGCGTCTCAACCTTGGTCACGCCTAGGGTGGTGTTGCCCCTGATGACTTTGCCGTCGATATTAGCCTGGCCCCATGCATTGTCTGCGCCAGCGTCGCGCACGAACAGATTTAATGTGATCGGCTCGATGCGTACTGGCAGTGCAATCTTGAGGTTCAATGCCGACAGCAGCGTCAATTGAATCTTGTCCGGTCGCGGGTTTAGGACCGAGGCATTGACCAATACTAAGTCGGACTTGTTGACAACCATTTGTGAGATGGCTGGAATGGCAACCAGGAAGCTATCATTGCAATTAGTATCTTTGTTTGTAGTTCCCAAGCATTGCAGCTTACAAGACAGGCAGGAAGATCGCCAGGAATATGATAGTCACCAGAAGGTGCAGACACCAGAATCGCTTCCAATGGCGTTGGAACTTCTCAGTGCGCTTCAACTTCCTAGTCTCCAATGACAAACCTCCGGCCGATTCGACATGTGCAAGCTGGGCGCCTTCATCGTCACCTTTGGATATTAATGGACCACGATGAATACCCAGAGTATATTTGGCATCATCTGAAGTCAGATATGCTGGGGTATCTGTATTTTTGCCCATGATCGCAACAACACCGACTTGGTGACCTTTTAGATTAGAAGGGGGGAGGATTCTGCGTATATGTAGTTTAGCGCAAAAGCACCCCCAGACTTCTTCTCCTCTCCATACACCGAAGCGGGACCCCGTGGGTACAACACAAGAAAAAAACCCCAAATAAAAGGACAAAAAGGAACAAAGCGGGTTTCTCGTCGGAGCAGGATTGCTCCCTTTGGCGAATGACGCAGAAGAGGGGAGGGATCAGCGCTTCAGGAGATGGCGATCTGCTGCCAACCGCGGCTTATCCCCAAAAAAGGCGACACTATTCACATGGGCCGAGATGATCAACACCCTTAGACGTTGGAGGGTCTCTCGGGGGTTTGTGGGGGGATTTCTGGGGAAAGAGACAAGATTTTGATATTAATGAGATGATTTACTCACTTTTTGACAGCCCAATTGAAGAAATATTTGACCAACATCTCTTTAACTATGTCTCTTCCTCCATCCCCTGTCTCCCCAGTGGACGAAAAGCCCCGAGACTTTCCAAGTGGCTCTGATGCGACCGTAAGCAATAACACCAATGTCTCAGGTCGTCTCCATGCCCTGGAACAACTAGAGGTCCTTCCCAAAATGCTGCAGGAGGGTATTCTCTTCGCAGGATCTGGCGCGACGCTGCTACTTCAAGCTGCCATGCCGGGAATCCGCGATGCAGGCGCCAACCACGGCGGTCACAAAGAGCTAGCCACTGAGCTCCTCGACGCTCTCCAAGCCAATATAAGCTACATTTCCTGCTTGGTTTTCGGCACCCGCAGCGAGCGCAAAGTTCTCATCGATCTCCTGCAGGAGGGCAATCCGCCCCTACTGGGCGGCGGTCGCTCGAATCGTTTCGCTGAGCATCCGCCTCTCCAGTTGTGGATGGCGGCGACGCTATACGCGACCGCGACCGATTTCTACCAGCGTGTCTATGGCCGCGTGGACTACGCCAGCGCCCAACGCGCATACAGCGAGTATGCCTTGCTCGTGAACTGTCTGGGTCTCCCTCTCGGTACTTGGCCGGAATCCCGTCAGGCATTCTGGTCTTACTGGGATGATCAGGTCCATCAGTTGACTGTCTCATCGGATGCGGCTCAGTTTGCTAAGGACCTTCGTGAAAGCAACGATATGCCGCGCTGGGTGCAGTCTTTGAAGCCTTTCTTGCGTGTGACTACAATTGAAATGTTGCCCCCGAGTCTGCGTGATGCCTACGGTCTGCGCTCGACAATTACCACTCGGACTCTTTACCGTACCTGGATGGGCTTCTCGGTCGCTCTTTATCCGGCGATGCCTGATAAATGGCGGGCATACCCTTTGAAGTTCTACCAGGATCGACTCAAGGAGAAGTTGGATGGGAAGGAGGTTTAAGAAGGATTCTGTGGATTTAGTTTAATGTTTTCTTTTTCTGTATATACCCGTTAATGAGAGACATGATAGTTCTGTGTATTCTGTGTATTTGAAAGGTTCTATTGTATTTCCATGTAGATACATATACTCCTTCAATAAATGCTATAAATTGTGCAATAAAACAAGATAGCTATAGTAATTGTCATGATTCGTTCATTTTATCAGCCCCTCATAGTGATCCTAGTATACCACCCAGAAGCTTGGAAATATCATCGACCAGCTATAGTGCATTAGTATATGAGCACCAAAGTAGCAAAAGCAGTACATACCGGTGTAGCATCCTCAACGAGAGTAGTTGTGTTACCAACAAAGCTCTTAGTCAACAAGCTGTGGGCGTTCGTCAAGATATCCTGCAGGACGACGATATTATCGGCGGCAAGCAACTTGGCTGCACCATCAAGGATAGTATCCAGCTTGTTGAGGTTATCGGTGGTCAAGAGGGACTGAACGCCGCTCAGAATCTCGGGCAGCTCTTCCAGTAGACCACCAGTGGCAGCCGGAGCCGGTGCAGCAACAGGATTAGGACGAGGCTCGGGGGCAGCTAGAGCCAAGGGGGCCAAGGCCAAAGGGAAGAGAATCCGAGAGAAACGCATTATGATGTTATATTGAAGGAGTGAGGAATGGGCAAAGAAGAAGATAGTAAAAACATCCAGTGTCTTATACACAAGCTGATCTGTTTTCCGTAGATGTGACTGTCATTAGCGTCAAAACCAGGAAAATGTCCGAGGCCATCCCGGATAGACATAATCTCGATGTTGACTTTGAGGCCGAGGGATAAGCAATGCCATGTGAGAGAGATAGATGAAGTGCATATTACAGGAAGCCAATGGCGAATGAGAAAAGAAGAGAATCCAATACGATCAAATACGACAATTTCCCCGCAAGCCCCTCTTTCCCCTCGTCCGCCCCCAGAATGTCGCCTCTTAGTAGAAGATCGTCGGGATGATCCCTTTTTTTTTCTGTTTTGGCCCTTTTTTCAGGTTAGTGATATTTGCTTGTCTTACAATGCCTGCCCTTACCAGATCCACTTCGGAGGAGAGGTTCGCTTTAGTAGTGATCGACACAAGCCATCTATGTTATATATTATCTTCGCTTATAGATCAGACAGATCAGAAAGAACTACTCCGTAGTGATGCATATACTGTGTAAAATGATGCCATTTCCATACTTCTATATTAAATTTAATCTATAAGAAAAGAAACAAGCATGTGCTTAATGCAACGGTCTTACCTGAACTCCACTGTATGTACATCGTATATATCGTATAGACCTAAGTGCTCCGAGGGAGTAGAGATAAGCAAAAAATAATAATATTCGGATTTCATATGCAGATTGAAGTCTTTTGGATTTCGGAAAACGTATCTCATCATAGTCATATCTACTCCGTACAAAGTAAAGTACTTCGTGCTCCGTACGCAATTCATGTGGATCCTCGCATCACAGAGCTAGTGCTAGTCCAAGCACTCCCAGCGCCCCCAACGCCGAAACGGTCAGCCCCGTGGGCTGTGCAGCTGCACCTTTAGAGACCGAGCTCACCGGCCCTCCAGGATTGGAATCGGTCGCAGTGGCTTCCGCTGCAGCCCCTGTATTTGCAGCCGCATTCTTCTCGGATGTTGTGGCCGTCAATGCTCCCCCGGAGATCTGTGACTTGACCACTGACATGTAGTTTTTCACATCCGTTGGAAGAGCGCTGTACCAGACTGGGGTAGTACCAGCCTTGAATTGACTGGCAAGGGAACTGCGCTCCGCTGGGTTGATGAGTTCCCAGATGACGGACACCGGCACGACTGATAGGATCTCGGAGATGAGAGACTTGGGCGGCGGCGAGATGTTGGCGAAATTGGCGGTGGTTGTTTGGTTGGCTACCAGATTCTCTCTGTGAAAGTGTTAGGCTGTTTTATAAATATGTAGAAAAAGAGTCAGATACAGTGCGCTTGAGATGGCACTAAGGTTGATGCCATTGTCTGTAGTATCTCGTCGGTGATGGTGTTGAGCACCCCAGGCTGTTGCGGCAAAGAGGAAAGCTGCCGTGAGTTTCATTTTGTCAAATTGTAGAGAGGAAAAGAGAGAAGACAAAAATAAGGGTGTACAGTTCAAGATGGGGCAGAGTGTAGAGTATATCAAATGCTTAACCTGCTTGGCCCGTCGATCGGAAGAATCTCCCCGCACTAGTCTGAAATAACATGCAACATACAGTCGCTAAATTTCCTGTTAAATTAATTTCTAAAATTCCAAGATTCCACATCTTTTCGGTCCGTTGATCAGCCTCGGGGCTCACCAGAATCAGATGCCAATCTATCAGATCCTCGGGAAATTTGTTTCTTTGTGGGGAAATGTAGTACTTTGTATATGTCAATGTAGCATTGCATAGAGAAACTTGATAAATCTGCAGATCCATCTGAATTTCACATGTATCGAGACTTGCGCCATAATTTCGACTTCAGGCTAAGCACTGTCTCTCAAAATAAAGAGGAAGAGAAGAGTTCCAAGAGGGTGCAATAAGTGATTGTGGTAACTTCACCCTTTTAACATTTGAACTCCATCTATAACGCTCAGTTACACTTCACATGTATATCGAGCATAGCCAAAATAGGATACTGATATTATATCCTCAAAGAGAAAAGAGGAAAGGTTCTATAGAATTGTGGTGGTATCACCTTTCCAACTACATCTATATTGCACAGTTACAAGCGAAATTTAAATAAAAACGTGGCATCAATTTGGATATCATAGCAAGGCCATCGTAAAAATCATGATAGTAAAACAAGTGTAAGAAAAGAAACCCGAACTCAAGAGATCATCTCCAAGTCAAGTTTAAGCACCACCCTTCTTAGCCATGTCAGCCTCAGCACCGCGCTGGCGGACCTTGCCCTCATCATGCATATCACGGTACTTCTCCTCCTCGGTCCGGTTACCAGTAACAGCGGCACCAATAGACCCAAGAGTACCCTGGGCGCGGTTCTGAATGCCCTCACCCCAGTCCTTGAGCTGACCCTTGGCCTCTTGTTCCTTGCCAGCGGCGTTCTGCTCAGCTCCGGTGCGGCGCAGGTTCTCGTTTCCGATCAGGTTTCCGATGGACTCCTTGGCAGAGCCAACGGTCTGGTCCCAGGAGCCTGTGTCGCGCTTGGGGTCGTCTTTGGCAACGGCTCCGGTGTTCGGGTCGGCGGTAAAGGAGCCCAACTTGGCAGTTGTGTGGGAGGCTTCCTTTTTGGCTTGGCCTTCCTCGTGCTTGAGTTCGCCCTTGGTCTGAGATGGGTTAGTGTTATGTTATGGTGTTGGTGGGGGAGCTAGGGTGGATGCTTACCTGAGTGGAAGAATCGCCAGTCACGGTTCCCATGGCGCGCTGAGCAAGACCAGTGGCTTGGTCAATGTACGACTGACCAGTTGAGGCGTTTCCAGTGTTGTCAGACATGATGATTGAATGGTAGATAGTAGTTGATAGTGAAGAGATGTAAGATGTTTGAAGAATGAATTGGTTGATGAAGTAGTGAAGAATGAAAGTCAAGACAGGAATGTTCCTTCCTTATATACAAGATTCATATTATCCAAGCCCCGTATTCTAGTGGATTCTCCAACCTGATCTTCCAAGTCTTGAAGTTCAACAAACAAATTGTCATGATGAACTACGTCATATCATGATGTCATATCACGTGAATTCCAGGTCAATGCACCTGAATGACGCTGCTTTGTTCCCACAGTCCTGAGATGAGCGTCATATCCAAGGGGTTTCTAGGTGATGTTGGAAGTTTCCACAATATTGTATTAACATTTAGGTTGATGGCTGTCTTAGATTTACCTATCTATGTTGTAATACAGGAGTATAGGAAGGTAATGATCTACAAGTCCATGAGCATCATTATCCTATAGAGAGATCCTATGATCTGAATGTATTTCATGCAGCATACCAGTAACAATAAGTTCATGCAAGTTCCCAAAACACCAAGTCGCCGCGTACGGCGTACATAAATCCCACATGCAATGCCACGCTCGAAAGACTAAACCCAAAAACGAAAACTATTTGTAACCTTGGAGAACTACCAGTGGCAAATTCCACCCTCATTATCCTCAGCTGTCCATGTGCCACAGAGACCGACAACCTCAAGATGACCATCTGGTTGTTCGCCAACCTTGCTCAATGAAGCAAAGTTCTTGTCTGCAGGACCATTGCTCAGCAACCGTCGTGCCCAGGCATCAATAGCAGGCTCCCCAGTTTCATCTCGAGCTTGCTTCAGGAACGGAATGAGTGCCGTGCCACCGGTACCACGCAGCTTCTTCTTGTCGGTCGGAGCTGCGGTTGCAAGGTTCGTTAATGGGAGACCTGGGTTGGTAGGTTGAGCAGGCTGACGTGCACTGCGGGACTGCAGGATAATATAGCGGGAGACAATGGTAATATGTTTATCACGTAGAACGCGCAGCATGGCTAGACATGCGTCGTAAGCAATGCACAGCGCTGAATCTCCGCGCCGCGCCTCGACGAAGGGGCGGATATTTGCTACCGAGTCAATATTCTCAAGGAAGCGCCGGTGTGGGCCAGGCATGTAGGTGCGCATGTCGTGGATAAAGCTATTTCGTGATTTGGTGCTATCTTCGGTGCTTTGATCCTTGTCGGTGCGACTTGTACCGGTTGGTCGGTGTTCCACTCCGAGGACAATGTCGAAGAATTGAATGAGTGAGCTTTGGGCGTTGCTACCCCCTCCATACTGTCGGTATTCGGGGTTGTGGCCATCGTCGTACAACAGCCCATTTGGCAATCCAGCATCACCCATGTTTTTACTTCCAGCTAGGTAAGGGCGTATGCGGTTGTAGAAGACATATGGATCGCAATTTTCATACATCCTCTGTAACAGTGTGTTGGTTTCATCGATGGTTTCCGCTAGTCGCTGTAGGCATTCGGTTACAATATGGGTGTTTCCTGTGCGGGCTGCCGTGATGGCCCTTACCATCAGGGGGATGGAAGGGGCACCACGTGCTTCTATGGCGACTGAAACTAGATAGAACCATTGTTCATCTAGAGATCCAGTGAAGGTTTGTAGGCAAGCTAAGTTTTCCAGGTTGGTGGCTGGCTCGTCGGAGAATATCGGCTTGTAATTCCAAAGACAGACTCCAGCATAGGTTGCCACGGGAGGTAATTCGAGTCGTTCACAGACTTGGAATAAGGGCACTGTAAGTTGAGGTGGAATCCTCTTTAAAAAAGATTAGTACATCTACATTGTTGAACCAATAGGGTGGGCCGGTACCTCTGTGGGTGAACTGCCTCCCCATACATAGCCATGCAGGATGAACACCAATATGACATATGCACGACGCCACTCGGCCTCTGTCTGTAGGTGTTCGACAGAAAGTATGGGGAGATGATCCACTATAGAGTGCAGACGTTTGCTCAATATCAATGGATGGAGATTCCCAATAATCATCTCCCATTCAGCATAATAAGGATCTGGGAGAACCTCTAGGGGAAGTTCTGGGGAGAGGAAACCATAGTCGGAAGTGATTCCGAACTCGGCGGGATTTGGCACGGGAGGCAACATCACGAGTTGCCACTTAGATTCAGAGATGGAAGAAAAGAGATATGCTTGAAATGAATGAAAGTTGGAAAAGTAGGAGAAGTTGGAAACTGAAAAGGATCAGAGGATACTCTGGATTATACCAGAAAGACGAGAGAAGACGAGAAACAACCAGAGACCAGGAACGATCCGGATCCAAAGTATGACTTCCCCAGGCTAAATACTGCGGATGATGACGGAAGAGAATGGAATAATGGGATTCAAATGGATTATAACCGAATAAATATGGACTTATGGACACTATATGGCTAAATCGTTAAATAGCAGAGTTTTCTCAGATCGGACCGAGTTCAAAAGAGCACGTAATTTCACCGGGGATCCCTGGAAGGTAAGTAGGACATTTCTAATCAACTTTGGGTACGGAGTCAAAGAGAAAGAGATAATAATAGAGTTGAGTAACTCCGACATAGGAAGAGGGGGGAAAGGGAGATTCTTTTTTAGAGGACCCTGGGGAAGTTTTAGAGGAGTGGACAAGGTAGATCAGATAGTAATGAATAGTATGGCCAGGTACATTTTATATGGCTATACAATCAAATGCCATCAAATAATCGTCTGCCAAGAAGGACTGGGTGCATCCGCGAGGCCCAAGTGGGGTGGAAATTAAGCGAAGAAGAAATTGAGTGCGAGACAAAGGGGCCTAAGCCGGGAAAGACAGGGAAAGACACGGGAAATGAGGCATTTTCGGGCATTTTCGCCTTTTCGCTTATTTTGGCTTCAAATTCGCTTCACTCAAGATCGTCAACCTTGATCGGGGGGATGCATGGCTTTAGATTTAGATTCGACCTCATTTGATATTTGACATACTATATTCAACATTTATAGTAACATTCAACTTTACATTTACATTTCAAATTTATATCTCACATTTACAATTCTTTTTCATTTTCATAAATATGCCTAATACATAAGGCACCCATGATTAATAATTTCATTCCCGAGGTCCGAGGTATACTCCCTATACGGAGTAGGCATAGCATAACCCCCAAGGTACAGGCTTCATATATGTGTCACCAGTCACCTACATATGCAAAGTTCGGGAAATAATCATGGAACACATTTAAAATGCGTCTGGGAGCACCTAGCTGTACCATTGTAGCACAATATAACTAGGTCAAGTTTTATAGCTCAGATCGAGTAGGAACTTCACAAAAGGTATCCCACGAACTGGAAGAAGTAAATATTGCCTGTACCGTATTATTCAGAGCGAGACTGACCATGCTTGGCTCTATTTTATGGTCAGCCTTTAGAACTGAATAATAAGAGAGAATATTTACCATCAAAGCTGAACTGTGGCCATCCATATTTCCTCAGTCCCATACGAGGGTCCTTGGCAAATGCAACCCAAGCGCCTAGGAAAACACGCTCAATCTAGGCAATTCCAGGCTTTTATCTCGGAAGGGATTACCTTGCATATATTCGCTGACTTCAACTTCCCTAGCGGACGAAGGGATCGCCTTAGACTTATCATAGGTTCCAAAAACAATAGGTATCTCAGCTATTTCATCATACTGTTAAAATCAAATGAGCAAGGAAAGGGCTGGTGACTTCTTACCTCCGTGGTATGCTCCAAGCCATGGAGTTGGACTGAGATTGGTAAAATTCCCATGGTATAGATACCTCCAAGTCGGCACATGCTGACTCAATCGAATCCTACAGGAATATTAGACGAATACATGTAGTTGTAGTTGTAACAGCTAAAGGTGAGAATCCCATAAGCTTTTACCTCACAGATTCCCGGAGGGGACAGTTATAAATCCTCTGAGTAAGAGCATGGATTGTTGTTTCATTAACTGATGTTCGATTTAACCGGAAGAAAGCCGTAAGTTCACGCTCATCAATCCCTCCCAATGTTGGCTACGGTTCCAAACATGGTTAACCAAGGAAGATACATCAACACTCACTGTCAAATACATACCAATTGTGCCAATTTCCCCATTTTCGCTCTGGCAGCATAATCGGAAAAGACGAGAACATTATCCACAATGGGATAAAAGGCATATCTTCCCCGGGACCTTGTTTTGACAATCTTCATCATTGAAACTTGTCTCATGCATTGGAAAGATCGGGCTCCTACACCGCATCCAACAGCAGTAGACAGTTCATTCCAATTTTTATGATCAGGGGCTGTAGTAAGTAATGGAGCGGTGCCAGAGTGAAGAGCAAACGCGCTAACGATAGGATCGTCTGGATACTATCAAGAGTTAGTCATTTGGGAATAGTTAAAAAGTACAAATATAGAAAGGTGCTCACTGCATATGAATGGATATCAACTGAAGCAGCCCCGGCAGATTGACCAAACAGAAGAATCCTATCTGGATCACCGCCAAAGCTGGCTATATTTTCATGAACCCACTCGATTGCCAATCGCTAAATATGTGTTTAGTTCATCCATACTATCAACCATACATTTTCAAGATCTACCTGGTCCAGGAGCCCAAGGTTTTGCTTGGAAGGGTCGATATCTGGCGCATTAGGAAATCCAAAGACATTGAGTCGATAACTAACCCGCGCTTTAGTGTTTTGAATGGACAAAAAATCACCATCTCCTTACTTGAAAGTAACAACAATCAGATTGTCGTGATTCTCCACCAAATTCGTGCCATCGTAGTAAGCAACCGAAGTAGCCCCTGTGTCATAGCTTCCTCCATGAATGAACATCATAACTGCTGCTTTTTCAAATCCTCCGTGGCCTCGATTCTCGACAGAAGGTGCCCAAATGTTCATATACAGACAGTCTTCAGACATGTCGCCAGAGTTCCATATCTTAGACGGAAGAATACTATAAATGGACTCAGTGGAGTACGTATACACCTGTGCACAGGGGCTGCTGAAGGAAGATGCATCGATG